TTTGGATGAACTAATCGATTTTTTCTCATTTTTTTTTATTGCTTAAATGTGTGGACGAGCTCACAGCCCACCCGGTTTTAAGTGGTTACTGGAGCCCATAGACATCTACAACGTAAATGCGCCACACACCTTGAGATATAGTTCTAAGGTCTCAGTATAGTCACAACGGCTGCCCCACCCTTCAAACCGAAACGCATTACTGCTTCACGGCAGAAATAGGCGGGGTGCGGACTCAAGAGGTCCTACCACCAGTAAAGTACGCATAAAGTATTAATGATTACGAATTATACAAGGTATCTCTTCTAAACTACCCTGCACCACGATGTAGTTGACAGTTTCGTAACTCATTCTTGTAAGGTGCAAACGTTCAACTCGAAGTTTGTGATGACCGTCCTATTTAAGGTAGATAGATAGACGAGCGCATCTTTTTCAATAACACAGTTCTAAGTCTACAAGAGGTCGAATGCGTGTTACACGGTCTGTGGAATCCAATAAGCTTAAAGGCGTGCGGGATTCGAGAACAGAATTTCTGTTAGCAATTTTGCTATTTAAACGCCAGACTACAATACGTTTCCCACTTTTGCTTGTATCTGTACGTACATGAATGTACGCTGCGCTGCAAAAGTGCATGGACAGTACTTAAAAAAACGTGCTAATCTGTAATTAACGTTTGCTAGGTAAACATAATGTCACTATTTCAACGGTACTTAAACAAAAAGACAATTAGATTAATAATAACAGGTCGTTATGCATTAAATTAAAAGGCATTTAGCGTATAAAATCACTGAATACTCCTGTAAAAAAAATTGCTATTGTTTCCGTTATATTTATTTTACTTTGTACGAACCTATGGAAGCAACATCAAACTAAAACTACTACTTTGTGATTGTTGGCGATATAGAGGATGTTTGCGATACTCACTAATCAAGAGGGGGCAGTTTGGGGTGCGGTATACCCACTAAAAACTACCTAATGTATCTCTATGTTAGTTGTATTGTCTTTAAATTTTTTTATATTCTAATATTATTGGATGTGCAATGCATATACATGAAGTTGTCGTGGCCTAAGGGATAAGACGTCCGGTGCATTCGTGTTGAGCGATGCACCGGTGCTCGAATCCCAGGCGGGTACCAATTTTTCTAATGAAATACGTACTCAACAAATGCTCACGATTGACTTCCACGGTGAAAGAATAACATCGTGTAATAAAAATGAAACCCGCAAAATTATAATTTGCGTAATTACTGGTGGTAGGACCTCTTGTGAGTCCGCACGGGTAGGTACCACCACCCTGCCTATTTTTGCCGTGAAGCAGTAATGCGTTTCGGATTGAAGGGTGGGGCAGCCGTTGTAACTATACGTGAGACCTTAGAACTTATATCTCAAGGTGGGTGGCGCATTTACGTTGTAGATGTCTTTGGGCTCCAGTAATCATTTAATACCAGACTGGCTGTGGATGGGTGGCTCGTCCACTCATCTAAGCAATAAATAAAAAATAATAATAATTATGTACTATTAAACAGATGCCCTGAATATAAACGTGGTATTTTTGTTCAATTAGTGCCGCAGAAGCGAAGAAGCCGTACAATGTTGTAGACAATCTGTCGGCCTGTCTGTGAGTTGAGTTAGCGCCAAGTCGTTGTTATACGAACTGATAATATTCTAGGCATCTATTTATATAGGAAAATAGTTTGCAGTAAACAGCTGGCTCTCTGACTTTAGGCACCCGAGGCAGTTCTAATATCCACGAACTTGACTAACCACTTTCTACCAATCGGGATGCAACTCGTCTGACTTGAAGTAAATCGCTTACGTAATATATTGTTAAATTTTAAGACTTTTATCAACTGAAAATACCAGATTTCCACTAAAAACATGATTTTTTTCTAGTATAATTGAGTGAACGATCTCACAGTTCATCTAGCATTATTAGGTGATAACCGTCTGACTTCCACGGTGAAGGAATAACATCGTATAATGAAAATCAAACCCACAAAATTATAATTTGCGTAATTACTGGTGGTAGAACCTCTTGTGAGTCCGCACGGGTATTTCGGCAGGATAGTCCGGCCTATTTAGGCCGTGAAGCAGTAATGCGTTTCGGTTTGAAGGACGGGGCAGCCGTTATATCTATACTGAGACCTTAGATCTCATATCTCAAGGTGGGTGGCGGCATTTACGTCGTAGATGTCTATGGCCTCCGGTAACCACTTAACATCAGATGGGCCGTAAGTTCGCCACCCATCTAAGCAATAAAAATAAAATAAAAATAAAAAACTTTAATTCAGACTTTTCTGATACTAATAAAACACGCATTTTAATCTCGCAAGAGAGTAGGTAACACCAATCATGCGATTTGATTTGAAGAGCTGAAAATACGTTCACAATACAATTGAGCCTGACCTCATGTGCCAAGGTGGGTTGCGGCTTTCATGCAGTGGTGGAGGGGTCCGATAGCCATTTTACATCAGTTGGGCCGTTTATCCATATGTGCAATAAATGAGAATTTGAAAATAACTAAATAAAGCCTAAATAAACATTTCGTAACAACGGCCTGAGAATTCGCCTGTTTCATGTTTAAGAATTGGACCATTGTCACATGTACAGTTGGATCTCCGAATTTCGGATATCGACCCGGACCTTGTATTATATCGGACCACGGCTGTAAGCCACTAGACCAATAAATGCATCGCTTGAAAATTGTTGGAAAACGTGAAAATATTATTTGACTAGTGGTTACGGCTCTGCCACAATACACGCAATGCAGTGTACAGTTTTGATTGAAGAACAACTACCGAATATTCTGGAATGCATTCTATTGTTTTTTATATTAGGTTTAGGATAGTATTGTATGCCCATGCAGATGCTAGTATCATTCTTCTGCAGAAGTATCGTCTGTTCTGAAAAAACACAATTGCCTTAGGACACTATTAAGATATTTCCACGTCTCGGGTGGGCGGATTCATCCATTGTAATTTGAACGTCAATCACGTGTCTTGAGGAGAGTATTTAAGTTGTGATGTCTACAGGCTCCGGCTACTACTTGAACTACTACTAAATTACTACTACTAATTTTACTACTAAGACGTTGACGGTAAGGAGACGTTCACACATGTATTATGTTTAAGTAGGTCATAAAAGTTTTTGTATTTTCTGAATTTACCCATAAAACCGGATTAGTTTACTCATTACAGTTTTAAATTACTTTATAGGCTCTTAAAAACAAGTCGCCAATGCTATTAACAATACAATGTAAATAATTACAATGTTAACAGTTTGAAAATCGCGATCATTTGTGAACACGTTTCACGTTACGGGTGAATCTGGATGTGATTTTTTTAAACAATGGTACGTGACTCGCACCTGCGACCTCACGTGCATACGTGATAATACTGTGCTTCTAATTGACCAGAATACGCGCTTCAAACACGCCTTTATTAGTTAAGCTAATTTAGATTTTGAGCTTCGCAATTATGTGATATTGAAATACCGTCGACGTGATCTCTGGAATAATCTTAAAGCCAAGGAACAGAAGTTTTAAATGTGAACTAATCTAGTTGGGGCACGAGATATTTGTATGAATAACTCCATGTAACGACTTTTTCTTTTCTTTTTCTCCACCTTATCCCACTAGGTGGGGTCGGCACAGCTAATTTTTCTCTTCCATTCTCTTCTATCAGCCGTCATCTCAACACTCACTCCTCTCTCTCTCATATCGTCATTCACACACTCCATCCATGATCCATGTCTTCTTCGGTCGACTTCTTCCCCCTCTACCTTGCACTACCATTTCCATACATCTCCTAGTCACATGCATCTCCTCTCTACGCATCACATGTCCATACCACGCTAACCGTCCGCTCTTTAATTTGTTGCTTACTGGGGCCACTTTCGCACTTCCTCTGATATACTCATTCTTTATCTCGTCCATTCTTGTCACTCCACACATCCATCTCAACATTCGCATCTCTGCCGCATGCACTCCTCTTTCATGCTTTACTTTCGTCGCCCAACACTCAGATCCATACAGCACGACATATCCATATATTCCATGTAACGACTATTATCATTAAAATCCAAACTAATGTTGTAAAGGTGAAAGTGTTTTTGTTTGATGTTTTGTTTGTCCTGATTTCAAGTCGAAACGAAGCAATGAATTCACATGATTTTTATTATACCGATAGTGTTAGATCAGTAGAATGACATAGATCATCTTTTATCCCGAAAAAAATGTATCGCACGGAAAATACAGTGGCGCTTTTCCTAAATCACGCGAGTGAAGTCGTGGGTTAGTTATAAATATGCAATAAACACAAGTTACACTGAGTTAATCACTGATTTTAAGGACTATCACGTTTAAGTATAACCATCTTTCTAGGGTGGGCCCGTGTTCTATTCGTCCTGGACATTACTTTGTATTTCCTTAGGGAATCTTTTTAACTTTGGTCACAAAGCCCTAATGGATAATTAATAATAAGCAAACATGGATGGAGAGTGTGAATGAGGATATGAGAGAAAGAGGAGTGAGTGTTGAGATGACCGCTGATAGAGGAGAATGAAATAGAAAAATTCGCTGCGTCGACCCCACATAGAGGGAGAAGGTCACAAGGCCCTAATTACAGTGATTCTTTTTCACAATAGACGTTTGTACTATGTACATGGCCGTTGCAACCAGACTTTTATAATAAATTTATTTCAATAAGACTGAAACGATGTCAGAAACAGTCCCGAACACACCATGATTTACATCGCTACGCATGTATTTGTCACTCCAGTGATTTTTTTTCAGCCGCGTATAATGTCCAGTTTATAGGGCAGATAGGGACATCCTATTGGTACAATTGAAACTTCATGTTTCAAGATCCCAATTTACGGTGGCCATGACTGTTTCAATGTCCGAATTTGGAAACCACTTAGGGGGGGCGGGCATACCTATATATGTAGTAATAGGAAATGTTTATCATGTAATTTGTGCTAAAATGTTGTCTCTCTGTTTTCAGGTAGCCGCCAAGCTCGACGACATTTATAAGACTGGAAAGCTAGCGCACGCAGAGTTGGACGAGCGTGCTCTAGATGCCTTAAAAGAATTTCCATCCGACGGTGCTTTAAGTGTTCTTGGACAATTTTTAGATTCAAATCTCGAACATGTATCCAATAAAAGTGCTTTTTTGTGTGGAGTTATGAAGACCTATAGGTGAGTTCTACGTGCCGGGCTTTTAAGTTATTTGACGAAAGCCAAGACGAATGCGGAGTGGAGTTGATTACTAACGCGGTTGCTTTAAATTAATTGAGATTGAAAGAAACAAATTTTTCTGATGCCTTTGTAGAATTAGCCTTTGATTTTAGTTTGAAGATTTATAAAAAAATGTGCTTGGATTAACAAAACAATATCGTTTTCAATTTAAGTCGGTTGTTGAGTTATAACTTTTCGCCTCTGAAAACGGCCTGTCTAATGATACTGTTATTAGCAATGGAAGAGGCTCTAAAGCTGTAGATAGGACTCCTAGCTATTTTTTATAAATTGATAGACAAATTGGCTTGCAGTTACATGTGCCGGCTAAATTGTTGCGAGGGCTCTACCACGAAAATGTAAATATGTCATATCATGACTAATGCAAAATGCACCTACATACCAATTACACATTATTATGAAATTTACATAGCCCACTCGTTTATCCGACGCATTCTCAAATTCAAGAGAATCAATAATAAATTTAGACTTCAATACTACGTCTTTGATATTAATCTGGCCTCGTTTCGTAGCGTTTAAAGGAGGCCTAAAAATGGCAAAAGGAGCAGATAACGGCACACAATACACGAAACGAATTACGTGTTGTTTCAATATCTATGAAATATTTGTAGCTATTTATGATGCGCATCCATTTTTCTATTAACAAATACCACCTTAATCTGGCTTTTTTTAATTTTGGCGAGCCGAGTTTGTTGGTGCAGTTTTTTTTTGCCCAGTAACATATAGTGGAGATATATTGGATGATTGCCAAACGACTTGCTCGTGAATCTGGGTCGCAATCTCGAAAAATTGATTTGGAAATTATCTGCCGCGTTGCAGATGCTTTTTGGTTTGGGGGGGGGGGGGGAGGGACTTTGCGTCGACTGCAGGCTTCAATGCAGGTGAACTATGCAGGGAATTTAAAAGAGGTAGATTGCGACAAGTTGCAATAACATTTATGTAGCAACGCAATCGCGCATTCCGGTTTGGAGGGAAGTAAAGCTGGTTTAATGATGAAAACTGCTGCCTAATTACTTAAAGTGAGCTCTGAGATTCTTAATGTGTGATCAGGGGTCCGATTAGATGCTAAACAGTATATGGGCCGGGAAGTTATTTATAATTATAAAAACAATATAAATAGATAATATAATTAGACCTGGCCCACGAGACTACTGTCATGTGGCATTTTAATTCAACTATCATTGTTCCGATGGCTGTGTCGATGTGGTTTGTTAGCGAAAGGCTTTGACCGAAATCTTAAAAAGGTTTTCGCTATAAGCTTGTCTTAAGGCTCGATGTAAAAAGCGGTAATTCTTGACACGCCACGTATCCTGAGGCTTATCACTATAGTCGAAATAAAAGTAGCCCAGTTGAAAAATCCTCTACCAATTAATATATTTTTTGAATTAGAGCTTGATAACTCTTACTGACAACTCCCTTTCTCCTTTCAGAAGTTAAAACAGGAGAACTGTTTCTGAAATTTACAAAAGAATGTCTTTTAGTTTTAACCAAGTGCAATGAGCCGATCTTACAAAGCTTTTCTGTGATACCGATAATGTATATTACATATTTGTACATAATATAAAACCTAACAATACTTTGTCGTGCAAAAAAATATGCTCTATACTATTTTTATTAATAACAGAATTTGCTCTTAACCACTCTAATAAATTCCATTACTAGCCTTAACAGGGTTCCCAGACAGACTGATTTGAATATCTCTAGGATGACCCTCGTTTTAAGAGTTCACACTGTAATAATGTACTCGATACCGGTCATTAAAATGCAATAAAAATGATTGCTGCTAAAATACATGACTTGACCTATATGTTGTTTTTTCCTCTCAGTTGTATCCTTGATACTAGTACCAGTGTCGTAAAATCTTGGTTTTATACCTTAGTAAACGGATGATAGTATTTGTGTAGTTGTTTTATATTTAAATTAATATTGTTGTTTGCAAGTACTGATGTTGGCTACTGATGTTGGTGGTCGGAATTTGACCATAATCATTGGCACACAGTAAGATTTTGATTCATTCCACTTTGTATTGCGTTTGGTAATTTATTTATTAGGTACTTCTTATTTGTGAAGTTGGTAAAAGTCGTATTATACCTTTTATTGTTAATAACCCCGAAACTTTAATAAGACATGTATTTTACAATTTTTTTAATTTGTAACGCGCAGAATATCTCTTCGTTTACGCTGGTAGGGAGGGTAGTCGATAGAAATTCGTTTGTGTTAAATTTTCATTCTGGACTACAGATATTAAAAACTAAAAATAAAAGTAATTTAACAATTTTAAATCTTGATAAACGATAAGGAGCCCATTGGTCGAATTGTTAAAAACGGCTCTGCTCAAATTAGTCGGTAGCGCTTTACTAACCGTATCAGATCGTGCTGTTGAAAGATTTCGATTGCAAATTGATTGTTCACGCTACGTTTTGATGCAATTTAAAAAAAAAAAACAAAATAACACGCCATCTCGAACAAAACATCCGTCGTGTTGATGAAACTGTTGATATTTAAATTCGAACGTCCTTCACGAAGATCGCGTGGTTCAGTGACTTGAGCTGAGGCGAGTTCGCATCAAAATACGATGATCCTAAATCGTTTTTAATTATGTAGGTAAAGGCGGTGCAAGCTGAAACGAGGCTCGGAGTTGTGTGCGTGCGAATTCCTCGGCGCTGCGGCTTTGTTGGAAAACACGGTCGTGCGCCTGTAACAAGATATTTGTGTCCTCGTGTTCGCGTGTGTTTGTTCGGTCGAGAGATTAGATTACGGATGGTCATTAGCCCCGGGAGGCTTGACTTGAGGCAGAATTGCACAACCTGTTTGCGATATCGATCGACAGAGTGCAAATCTTGGATTAGAATGTATTTGACGATCACGATCAGAAGGAACTGCGTTGGTTTAGGGTCTTTGTATTGGAATACTAATTTAGGTATCGCTTTAGGCTTCAAGTACTGGTGAAACTAACGCCCCGTAGAAAAGTCACAAGACTGACCTGGTATAGTAACTAGTTTTAGAGGGTAGTTGGCTGCTAGACCAATATTCGATTTCCATTTCGGCTATTTTCTATTGTGACGAAAAGGTTTATTTGTTCTATGCCTGGGTTTTTGTTATACATACCTATGTATATATCTCTGGTTCCCATAGTACTGGAAATCTTTATTTGGGGTCAGACGACGACGTGTGATCTCTCCGATTATTTATTATTATTGTTTAAGTAGTAACTTGTGGTAGAGCATAATGTTAGTCCACACGGGTAGGTACCTTCACTCTTTGCCTATTTCTGCCGTGAATCAGCCATTCGTAGCGGTTTAAAAGACGGGAAACAATACCATTGAGACTATGACCTCATATCTCAAAATGAGCCTGTATTCATGTCACGATGTCTATGGACTCCAGTAGTCAATTATACACTGGATGGTGGTTCGTAAACACAAAACTATTGTACAAGAAAGTCTGAATGATGCTAAAAACAGGGGACTGGTTCACTGGTGGTAGGACCTCTTGTGAGTCCGCACGGGTAGGTACCACCACCCCGCCTATTTCCGCCGTGAAGCAGTAACGCGTTTCGGTTCGAAGGGTGGGGCAGCCGTTGTAACTATACTGAGACCTTAGAACTTATATCTCGAGGTGGGTGGCGCATTTACGTTGTAGATGTCCATGGGCTCCAGTAACCACTTAACACCAGGTGGGCTGTGAGCTCGTCCATCCATCTAAGCAATAAAAAAAAAATTAAAAAAAAAGGCTAATTTATTTCTTACGAGGTATTATTTTCAATCACTATTTTATAGCACATATTTTGAAGGAACATAGATTGCGCTTTTAAGCCGGCTGTGTCAATTAGTTCATTAATAAAACGGTTACAAAAGCAAGAAGCTAGAATTTTATCGTAAAATGTTTGGCCAATGCGCTTCTCATGAGAATGTTTGTCGTATATAAACATAAAAATGAATGGACGCAACTGGATATATAATAGTTTAAATGGTTTTTCAGACAGAAAAGTCGGGCGGGCGTTCCCGGTGCTCCCGCTCTGACTCCGACTGTGCAGGTCAAGGGCCCCGACGAGGAGAAGATAAAGCAAATCTTGGCCCGAACCGGTTACACGTTAGATGTGACTACAGGTCTGTAATTAACAGTATTAATAGTCAAGTATAACCATTAGGTTGACTATTTGGATGTAGTGGTATATATAGCAGGGAATATGTGACAAAATTACTAAATGACTAGCTGTACCCGTCCGCTCGCTGGGCATTTAAATTATTTATGGGCATTATTATTTCTCACCTCCCCAAAGATTCTCATCATTAACTCCCTCGCCTGGTTCAGTAGTTATAACGGAACATCGGCAAAAGCCAGTGTAGATTTATATATTAGTATAGATTTAACGTAGTCATGATAAGGTGGTTCGCGTTTGTCAATTTTCTCTGGGTGTTGCTTGGTACCTGAGAGTTGGATTGAAACACGATTTTTTGTTTGTCATTGGAAATTTTGTGTGTAATCAATATTGTTATACTTTCATGGGATCACTTTCAAGTCATTATTCTAATAGCTATGTCATATTTATTTGACGCTAAAGGCGCGTACATATATAACGTCTGATTTACAGTTCCTTTAAAGCTATATGTTATTAGCGTATGCAGTTGTATGAGCCAGTTCACACACATGACAGTATTCCGGATCCAGAAAAAAATCCCACACACAACGAAAATACTGATCCGTTTTATCGGATCCAAACCGAACGAAGGCCTCCATTTGCCGGTTTCATTCCTCAACACAGCACCTCGACAAAATCTTGGCTTCACCGTGGAAGTCAATCGTGAACATTTGTTGAGTACGTATTTCATTAGAAAAATTGGTACCCGCCTGAGATTCGAGCACCGGTGCATCGCTCAACACGAATGCACCGGACGTCTTATCCGTTAGGCCACGACGACTTACGACAGAAGTAAGCTAGCTGTAACTATACTGAGACCTTAGAACTTATATCTCAAGGTGGGTGGCGCATTTACGTTGTGGATGTCTATGGGCTCCAGTAACCACTTAACACCAGGTGGGCTGTGAGATCGTCCACCCATCTAAGCAATAAAAAAAAAACTTTGTCACATTTAATCGCGGTCAGCAATGCAACGCCTCGAATGAGTTATGGTTGTAGATATTGTTGTTGCGTTGCGCAGGTCAACGCAAGTATGGGGGTCCGCCGCCCGGGTGGGAGGGGGGCACGCCGGGCGCCGGCTGCGAGGTGTTCTGCGGCAAGATCCCCAAGGACATGTACGAGGACGAACTCATACCGCTGTTCGAACGCTGCGGCACTATCTGGGACCTGCGACTCATGATGGACCCCATGACGGGTGCCAACCGCGGCTACGCCTTCGTCACCTTCACCACCAGGGACGCCACGCAGCGGGCCGTGCACGAGGTAAGCCACCCGTCTCTCTCTTTCTTTCTGCCTCTCTTTCTCTTTCTCTCTCTGTCCCCCTCGTCGCCTTCCAGAGAGCGACAACGTTTATTAAATATTTACACACTTAAAGAATTGCTCCTATTTGTTTCTTGAACTGAGACAATGCTTTCTTAGTTCTGCGGGTACCCTAAAAGCTGCGTACAAGGGATCCGCGCGCCTATCACATGCAGTTTAATGCAAATTATTTGTATAATAACATTGCAATTGCGGAAATAAATAAAGCAGACGTAAATTGTGAAATTGTTAAAAAATTGAAACCGTATATTTAGGTAAAGGGGAAGTCGTTGTCGCTCTCTGGACACTCGTCCCCGTGTGTCCCAGCACTAGAACTGAACGAACGAACCCATGGCGCCGGACGAGTGCGGCCGCCACGTCATGTCGCTCTTATCACTCGAAACAAAGAAGTCGCTATCACGATTGGTAACAACTAAATTGTGTCGAAAACTCGAACGATCACCGATAACAGTCACGTGGTCCCAGCACCACCACCCACCCCCCTCTCACTTGTAATTGGTGTGTGAATCTGATGCAAAATTTGTTTCTAATTCAACGTCTACTTTCCAGGTTTCTCGTCGAAACGTTAATGATATTCCTTGAACTGATACCGTGTTAAAGCAGCGGTCGTCTCGCGCGTGGCGGTCTCTGTTCTGTCCGTCTCGGACGCGCGCGGTTGAGTCCCGCTAGTAAAGTAGCCGGACCGCCACCCGCGAGCGGCGCTCGTCGCGGTGCCCCCCGCCCCCGGGCCCCCCGCACCGCCCCCCGCGCCCCCGGCACCGCGACGAGCCCCCCAACCATTGCCTGTGGAACTAGTTCTCAGTCATTTGGGATGTTTATCTATAAGCTTGTCATTATATAGCATGTTATTAATATTCCGCTGGAGGAGGCCAGTCGCATTTGTAAATGTAATTCGAAGTGATTTTTATTCGTGATTAATGGCAGCCATGTGTGAAACCGGATGCGAATGGCCTCTGCGACTATAATAATCACAACCTGTGTATATGTGCAACCGTAACACCTAAACTGAAGTAAGCCTCGCTTGTCCTCAGACATGATCCCGTACTTCACTGTTGCACCTCGTTCAGTTTTAAGTTGCTTTCATTTTATGTTTTGTCACCATCACACTAGTACTACTACTCGCTTCTTTTAATTTTCACTTCATCAAACGGTCCACTTACAGGGTTAACTTTGAATTGGCTTCAAAAAGTTCTCGAACCGAGAATAAACATCAGGCTCTCCTCTTTGCTCAGTCCAACACTTTCGGCTTGTCATCCAAAGTTCAGTTAACACATCATGATTGGCTCTAACCGTCATCCCGGAGCGGCCGTTGTCGCGCCGTTGTCGTGCCGTTGTCGCGCCGTTGTCGCGGCGGCTGCCTCGGCCGGCGGACAGTACCGACGCGCCCGAACGTCCGAATCTGCGATTCGACGCGGCCCGACCGGATCCGAATCACACTTTTTCAAAATTGTTCCCTTGTTATTTTTCCCACAGCTCGATAATCACGAAATAAAACCAGGGAAGACTCTGAGAATTAAGATTAGCGTACCGAATCTGCGACTTTTCGTCGGCAACATTCCCAAGTCTAAAGGCAAAGAGGAGATACTGGAAGAGTTTGGTAAATTAACAGGTAAAGTTTCACTCGAATGAATTAAAGAATTGATAGATGTTTTGGGGTTGAGTGCGTGGGGCTTGGTGTGGACCGCTGAGGGTGCCCCGCTTGTCCCGCTTGTCCCTGCCTGCCCCCGCCTGTCCCTGCCTGCCCCTGCCTGCCCTCTCCAGTCATTGTTGGCCGAGCCGGCCCAGGCCAGCCTCGGCCCTCGGCCATCGGCCATTCTCCCTCCAATTGTTCTTGCAGCTGAATGATTATGAAATTCGAAAGGGGAAAAAGATTGGCGTTACCGTTTCCTTTAACAATCACCGGTTATTCGTGGGGAATATTCCCAAGAATCGAGATCGGGACGAATTGTTTGAGGAGTTTTCTAAGCACGCACGTAAGTCCTTGTCGAATTCATAATGGTATGAGTGCGGCGCGCGGGCCCGCGGTCCGTGACGTCACGGTCGGGCGGCCGCCGGCCCGCGCGCCCCGCCGGCGCCGACCCCGCGGACTCGTCCGACTGCTTCGCGTAGAGCCGCGCGCCGGGGTCCGGGGCCGCTTGTGTTGTTGCCGACCGCCCAGCCGCCGGACCCCTACATTGTTTCTGTGTGCTTGCAGCTGGCCTCGTTGAAGTCATTATATATAGTTCGCCCGATGACAAGAAGAAAAATAGAGGATTTTGTTTTTTGGAATACGAGTCTCACAAAGCGGCTTCGCTGGCCAAGCGCAGACTCGGCACCGGGAGGATAAAGGTGAGTCGATCTCTAGCGAACACTTTTGATGTATATTTACTTAAAAACCATAAAACTGATGTGACCTAATTTCTTGCGTTGAAGCAGGTTTGGGGCTGTGATATTATAGTCGACTGGGCTGACCCTCAAGAAGAACCCGACGAGCAGACCATGAGCAAAGTGAGTACGACTTATTTACCTACAAAGAGCCATGTCTTTCCGTGAGTTTTGCCAAAGGCTACTAAAGAAAACGTCGGTAAATGGACCAGCAGTGTACTGCCATCCCAAAGGAACATTTACTGACGGTAGGGCGTATGTGTTATCTATCGGCACTGGTAATCAATAACATCGTCTGGAGCGTGATAGTTTAAAAATGTATAATTTACAGAGAAGGCCAGTTAAATTTTATATAAACTTGAACAAATCTGCTTTGATATATAGTGGACCACAGTGCGCTCACTGGGTCACCCAGTACAGTGAGGAGTTCGGTACAGGCAACTAAAGTGTCAGATGATTCGTAACGCAAACAAATACACATTTGAAAATGTGTATTTTATCAATGTACTTTTATTGCACGCAATGTACTGCGAACAGAACAACTGACGCACGGCGTGTGCGGTCATTGCTCTTTTTTAATATAAACTTACAAACATATAGACATGACATTATATTTTTTATCGCCAAAAGTCTAATATTTCAGTTCTCATTTGCGTTTTATATTCTTGCTGTTTTGGCTTCGGTCAATTTCTTCACGCCCTGTATATTAAAATGACTGGTTAGAAAATAAATGAATTTGTACAGAGAGATGGATTGTGTCGTGTATATTGTGACTATATTTAATATCTATAGTTGAACATTCGTGACCCGCAGGTGAAGGTGCTGTACGTGCGGAACCTGACTCAGGACATTACGGAGGAGGCGCTAAAAGAAGAGTTCGAGCACTACGGGAACGTGGAGCGAGTTAAGAAGATCAAGGACTATGCCTTCGTGCACTTCGACGACAGGGACTGCGCGGTGAAGGTGAGGACGGGTTGGGCGGGGGAGGTGACATTGCCAAATTTAGCTTAAAACTGTGTAGGTTACTGATTCTGTGGCGCTAGTGAGCGTTAATTATGTACACATTATTGTCGCTCTTTGGAGAGATTTTCTCATCGTGGCCGCCGGTAACCACATTTCCGATCCTGCGGACAGAATGGAAAGCAGTCGACGTCGCCCCAAACACATCTCGGATCCTCCCGATCCACTAACGGTGCTTTAAGGTACCTCAAGCACCGGTCATCGTTTTCGTCGAACCTGTCGCTTGCGACGAAGAGCTCGACGAGTAAATTAACCATCAACACAGCCCACTGAGTTTCTCGCCGGATCTTCTCAGTGGGTCGCGTTTCCGATCCGGTGGTAGATTCTGCGAAGCACGGCTCTTGCTAGGGTTCGTGTTAGCAACGTCATCAGGTTTGAGCCCCGTGAGCTCACCTACTAATTAAGATTACGCTGAAATAGCCTCTCAAAGCTCTCAGCTAGGTAGGGGAAAAAAAGGAGAGATCCTATGTAAAATACTTCCGTGTATAAATTTTCCCTAATTCCGTTACTTGTGTTCAATTTCAGGCGATGCAAGAATTGGACGGGAAAGACCTGGGAGGATCCCGCTTGGAGGTGTCACTGGCGAAACCACCTTCGGACAAGAAGAAGAAGGAGGAGATCCTACGTGCTCGCGAACGTCGTATGATGCAGATGATACACGGACGCTCTGGGTTAGTGCTCGCAGGGGTCCTTGCGTGTGAACGTGAACGGATTTGGAGAAATTGGGGATCGTTCACAAAAAAACAATTACTAAATTGGGTTCGCACGATTTTAGTAAAAGTTGTTCGAACAACTGTACTACGGGTTTAACCGTCGACCGTTGTTTTCATGTTTGGTACTCTTGCCTAGGTCTGAGAAAAGGATAAAGCGCGAGGAGAACACGACAGCCGATAAAGGCAAGCCGTTGTCGTCGTGGAAGTACAGTTTGCAAAACAAGATCTTTTTTTTGGTTGATTTTGAAAGCCTCGTGGGTGTAATATTCGTTTATAATATTGATCGGTTAGCGTTTTGAAGTTAGACAGGAAATCTAAACACTCGATCTTATTACTTTATCAATAACCACGTTAATTTTATGCTTTTGGACGTTAGACATAAAGTGTTGTTTCCTTTTTTGTGAACTGCAGAATTGAATAAGCATTACGGAGACCGCAAACTTTAAACCGACCTAAATAATATTGCTCATATAGTGTGAAAATGTATACGTAATATATAAACCAACTCATAACATGTAATTTTATTATAATAAGATGTTTACTCAGAATGTTACTACTGGTCAAATTTTAAGTAAATTTAAATATTTCTTAAAACGAATTATCGCAGCTACTTATCGAGGGGTGAAAGGTTATTAAGCTACATTAATCTTTGTAATTGAAGGTCCGTTTTATTTGGTATTAGTATCAACAATTTCATATTTTTAATTGAACTTCAATTTAACCTTACTCCATTCAGATAGCTGAAGAAGTTTTTTTGTTATCATTTATTTTCCAAATTTTAAACTTTAAATGGCTTCCCTGTAAAGCTGCAACAATGTCGCTAAACTTTTCACCCGTCGAGACGTGCTGCCCTATGGCTAAAGTGGATCTTGTTTTGCAGACGCACTGTTAATAAATGTCGAACACGAACGTTAGAAGCTTTGTCTCCTCATTTGCTTTACAAAACTACGCTAGAGGAAGTGTCCCTCAGAATCGATGTTTTGTTCACGCAATTTATTTTCACGTTCTATCGATGTTTGTGTTTTTGGAACGAAGTTCCTTATCGCGCGTTGTGAAAGGGGGCTAGACGGAAAAAATTCTTACGAAAAGTTGTCACGACACTTTTTAGATCCGTCATTCTGACCAATCAACGTGTAGGCGCTTATCGCGTGACATTGCTCGTATCCGATTGGTCCGCGTAATGAGTACAGTTTCTCGAGATAGCGTTTCAACAATAGAAATTTAGTNGTGTTTTTGGAACGAAGTTCCTTATCGCGCGTTGTGAAAGGGGGCTAGACGGAAAAAATTCTTACGAAAAGTTGTCACGACACTTTTTAGATCCGTCATTCTGACCAATCAACGTGTAGGCGCTTATCGCGTGACATTGCTCGTATCCGATTGGTCCGCGTAATGAGTACAGTTTCTCGAGATAGCGTTTCAACAATAGAAATTTAGTTCATAGTATTGTTTTTTTCTTCTTCATAATGCCGTAATTTATTATTATAACTTTAAAAAAAAATTACAATTCCTTCACTAATTAATCGAAAGGAACTTCGTTCCATCCGGGTGTCCCTTGACACCTCTGAAGTTTTTTATTTACGTGCCGCTCTAGACGTCAGTCTTGTGCTTTGGTGTTTTGATATTGACACGAGAGATGATGGATTTCCGGAATCCATCATTTCTGGTTGAGAATATAAAACTGGCGAATTGAGTATTGGATGTCGCTGCCGAGACAAAGTCTTGTTTGCGTTGGTCGTAATAATTATTTTAAAAGCTTTAAAGCTGTTGATTACAATACGTTGATTTTGTCTTGTGTGCGTCGATTGAAAATTTCACACAAACTTTAAAGTTCTGGCTTGTTGTTTATCAAAGAATTTAATTCTACTGGTGGTAGAACCTCTTGTGAGTCTGTGCAGGTAGGTACCACCGCCCTGCCTATTTCTGCCGTGAAGCAGTAATGCGTTTCGGTTTGAAGGGTGGGGCAGCCGTTGAAACTATACTTGAGACCTTAGAACTGTTATCTCAAGATGGGTGGCGCATTTACATCGTAGATGTCTATGGGCTCCAGTAACCACTTAACACCAGGTGGGCTGTGAGCTCGTCCACTCATATAAGCAATAAAAAAATTGATAAGTTTTTGTGAAGTTTCGGCTGAATTCAGTTAAAAAAATGAGGCATGATTTAAAATGGCATTTGGAGAATTTGTATCGTCGAGGGACGTTGACGAGCTCGCCCTGCGCAGGTTCGACTGGTGCGGGTGCTCGCCGCCGCACGCCATGCGGGGCCGCACGCCGCAGCAGGCGCCGCGCCCGCAGCACGCCCGCCCCGACTACGGTCAGTGCCGCACGCACCACGCCGCCAGCGACATCTGTCGCCCGCGGACTTAACGACTAACCGATGTGACGACACACGTGCTCTCTCACCCTCCGCCACTACTCACACTATCCAACTGTGAACACGGTGTGGTCCCCGCGCGACACTCGCACACTGCCACTCATCCCTTACTAACGCTGCCGACCCGCGCCCGCCCAGCCGACGTAGGACTTGGCTAGATCGACCTCTGCGTGTCTGATTAACGCAATTCATAGACAAACCGAAGAAACGTTTCACTCCCTAAAACTATATTTAGAAGGGCTAACTGTATAACTGCACCGATCATTTAAACGACATAACATTACTTACAGCTTGACCCTCCCGAACCGCATGCTTTTATATCTAAAACGTCATTTGAACGCAACATTTGGAGTTGATGTACTTATTCGGTTTCAGAAGTGTCTGGTAGTAGGGCACGGTGGTGGGCCGCGTCGTCTGCTGACGATCCGAGTTTGTAATTGTTGTGTGTGTTACGAAGAGGACGTAGGCCATGCATGTAGCTCCCGAGCGGAGGGGCCCGCCCCCCTAGCTTGTAAGTTAGCGTTAGTATAGCTTAGCCTCTAAAAGGCCTGTGTTGTGTGTTTATAGATTATGATTACGACTATTACGGATACGGTGATTACCGAGGTGGCTACAATGAGCCGTTTTACCGGTACGATGAGTTCTATTTTGATTACGCGGGGCCGCCGCAACCGTCCGCCGTCCGCCAGCCTCCCAACAGACCGCAGCCGGTGGGTCCCCACACACACTCACTAATGTTATCACTTATTTACTAGTCACTAGTCGCTCCTCGCTCTACTCATCATTGTTCTATTGATTTATTTTTTTTGAGTTGCCAAATTTTTATCATCAATAGTTTAATTTTTTTCTTTTTAATGATTTTGTTGAATCCTGTCCTCGAATGGAGTTAGTGACTCGGTAAAACGGTAGTGTGTAGGCCTGACGGTGGTGATTATACGAAGGCGGACGGACGTGCTCGCGGGGGCCGCGGGGGGCCACCATCAGGTCTATATGGCTGAGGCCGCTCCGACTAACACGCCCGTCTCCCCTAGCGCTTTGTGTCCGTTGACATTCCTCGTTGGCACCGCTTATCATCTCGCCGCGCTTGTCACCACCATGTAGTAGTGCTTTGCTTTGTAAGTGACCCCCCAGCGTCTCCGTCGCTCGGAGCGCTTGAATAACACTAGTAATGTCGTTGCAACGTTTGTATTAAGAAGACTTACTGACCCGCTTGGTGAATGCCTCACTCAGGACGACGAGCTCGGCCTAGGAGCCAACTCGCTTTACTACGACCTAACCGGAGGCACTCAGGTACCGACACAACTGAATTATTCCAAATTACTTATCTAGTTTTGATGTCGTGTCGTGATGTTCAAGGTAACATAATTTGTAGTTTATCTGAATGTAATTTTAAATTTTTATTATTATAACATAGACTAGCGGTCGGGGAACTTTTTTAATTATTACCCCAAAATATTTTTCGTGTAAGTTGATATTACCCCATGGCGAAAAACAAAAAAAAACGCAATCGCTTCTTTTTAGCATCTTTCATATTATAGTCCCCATGATAATTTTGAAAAAAAAAAAATATTTTTTCGTTTCATTTTATTTCGTTTCATCGAGTTTGAAATCACAACGATTCTAAAGAAGTTTCACTTCAATATATACTTTTTACTCACAAAAGTTTCATTTTTACCCCCCAAAATTTCATTTTATCACATTTGGGGTAATTTACCCCGGTTCCCCGACCGCTGACTTAGACGAATGTTTTATATGTTCCATAGATTGGTAGATTATGTAAACTATATAGTTACATAGAAGTAGGTACCTGATTGTTTCGTTCAACCGTTTTTTGTTGTAAAAGTATGAAGTAGTTTTTTTTTTAAATCTGGCAACATGGCATCTGTTGCCATGTTTAGTTTTTTTTTTTTTGTAGTTTTAATTGGAATTTGGTACTAAGTATCTAGAAGGAATTACACAGACGCGGACTTAGCGATGATTAGCGTGAAACTTATTACGCTACGGCATGTTGTAGAGAGAGCATGTAATATTTTTGAGGAAACTGCCGAGAATATCCAATAATCTTAAAAGTAGATGCCTTTACAGGATTCTTGGAACTGAATTCTGGCAACACTTTTACTAACGAAAAAAATGTCTGAGGTTTTTGTCCACTCGCGCTATTCAGATAAATGTGTGTGTAAATGCTTGCAAAATTATGGCAGAAAATGTCGTGATTGTTGATGTGTGACCGCCTAATTTGCGTAATGATCTATAGCACTACTGTTATCGGTCGTTTTAAATATCACTAACTAACATACAGGGTGTTGTAACTTTACGCATTAACGAAGAGTCCCTTCCCTTCATCTCACACATTTGTTTTATCTGACACTTATCACACGCTTTATTATCAATGAACGCAATAATATATAATATTACCGTACACTATACAAAGTTTAAGAGTGCCGGTTACTAACAAGCCTGGTTTTGGACCGATAATTAAATTTGCGAAGACTATTATCGTTGCCAGCCGAAAGTCGACATTAAAAATGCAGTTAGTGTTGCCGTATTTATTTTTATTTTCGTATTATAGGAATGTAACCGTTAAGTAGATAATAGATTAAAATACGTATTTTAATTAGATAGAAGGTATTTGAATATTTTTAGACGATGCCGACCATTTTGCGTTACGTATGCGGGTAGCTGGTGATTTTGATGTCGCGATTGGAACGTCACTTGTGAATGAGGCTTTACAGAACATATAAGAGTTTGTTTACTTAAAAAAAGTAGGGTACAATAGTACTATAGTATCGGTGACTCTACAACGCCTCTAAATAAAATATATCTGAATCGAATATATAAAATTCTCGTGTCGCGGTGTTTGTTGCCAAACTCCTCCGAAGTGGCTCAACCGATTCTCATGAAATTTTGTGGGCATATCGGATAGGTCTGAGAATTGATCAACATCTATTTTTCACACCCCTAAATGTTAGGATGGTCCACAAAAAAAAAAATTATCCCAAAAATAATGTATAGGTTTGGCAAAACAAGGTTTGCCGGGTCAGCTAGTAACTCTAAAAAGTCCAATGGCGCAATGAGAACCCGTCATATATATCGTCGTATATCTAGGACCTATAACTAAATTAAGAACTTTATTAATGAATTACCAGAAGGAGGGAATGTGGTTTTGGCTCAACTTCCAGCTCGCTCCTGAGTCTATAAGCTATTATACGGTCCAACGGGATGTCGGACTTATACACAATAAATAGCTTAGCTAGCTTATACTCTTAACGAAACTCGAGGAGAAAACTATTTATTACTTTGAATAGTATTTCTTGATGATGCTCATTAATGATTTCGTTTATTATTGAATTTTACTCATGAGTGTTGAGTTCTTCAGTTCTTCGTTATATTTTCAAAAACATACTCTATGGTTATTTCTTATATGACTTGTCTCTGACCAAATTTTTCGGTAATGTGCTGTTTTGTTATGAACACATTCGCCATTACATTATGATTATTGTACAGGCTTTTCCCACTTCGATAAAGCGGCACGACACGAGAACCCTCTCATCGTGGCCGCCGGTAACTACATTCCCGATCCTGCGGACCGAATGGAAAGCAGTCGACGTCGCCCAAAACACGTCATCTCGGATCCTCCCGATCCACTAACGGTGCTTCTAGGTACTTCAAGCACCGGTCACCGTTCTCTTTTCATTATTTTCAGCTAAGGAAAGATTTCAAAAAGTAAAGTTTGATCTAAAAATCTTTTACAGATCCATGTTGCTCGATAACTTAGTTCAACAAGGAAACTATCCGTTTTAAAGTTCGCCTACAAAATGCTGTTTTAACCGAATGCTGGACACTTGTCCTTAATATTTTACAGGTCGTCCTTGTTTTTTTTTATTGCCCGCGCAGGCAGGCGAGCATACTGCCCATCTGATGGTAAGTGGTCACTGTCGCTCATGGACGTCAGCAATGCCAGGAGTAGAGTCAAGCCGCTGCCTATCGCTGCTCTACACAAAATATAATGAAATTATCCAAACCACGACCGAAGAAGACCTATTTTAACAAAGTCGCGTGGTTCGGTTTCCATAGAAGGACCAAGGCCGTGAATTCCCCGGTTCAGTTGGTTTTCTCTATCTACCGTTACGTTTAGTGCAACTTTGTGTGTCGTATCAACTATTACTGGCCTCTTTTTTTTTTCAATTTGGATCACATCTCCAATATATCTACCTATGTAATGTTTGAACAATACAATGGTACTATTTACTAATCTGAGATTCACCAAATAAGTACAATAATCAAAACAAGAGACCCTGTCACAAGAGACCTTAAAATAAAATGTTACGCTCAATTATTAATAACTAAACTATCTCAATATTTTTCCAAAAAAACTTTACAAGTTGAGACCTGAGACCATTCATATGTCAATAACGGTGTTTTATTGAGATCTACAATTCGCCTGGCATTTAGCGGCCAGTAAGGGCCCATTTAATTTGAACAAAATAGATTGATGGGTATCACTACAATCTCAACCATTTTTACTGTGAAGCTAAAACGCGTTTGGGCTTAAAGCGATGCCCATCAATTTTACAAGTAAATTGTATTTGGAAATTGAATTTGTAAATTGTTGATTTGTAAATCTAAACCATTCTTGAATCCACCTGAAGGTACACAGAAAATTTCATTAAAATTGGTCCAGCCGCTTAGAATGAGTTCAATGACAAACACACGCACAGAAGAAATATATATTAAAGATTTACCTACTAAAATTTTGGCCGTCTGATACGAGCTAACGAGAATTCTACGAAATATTACACATGCGCCCATACAAATTCTCGAAAATATACATTCGATGACCGTAATGTACTTTATCGGTCATACTTTATTGGTCGTGTATGGATTAACTTTCTAAATAATACAAATTTAAACGCACGAATCTAGCTAATAAAGTTATTAAACAAACAACAAACAATCTGGACGTAACTTTATCACTATAGCAAGTATATACAATTTTCTTTACGCAAATGGCGTTTCCAATGAATTCGCGTAATGCAAGTGGTCGGCTCGTATTTACGCCTTAAATAATTATGTGGTCAGTTTCTTAATACGACCTTTTTATTTGTACGTAATGCATTGCTTTGTTAACACTGCAACTATCGGTGATCGGTTTATCAGGACCTGTAATCACGTCGCATTTTTGTTGTTACAAAATTACGATTAGATGATATTTAAAAAAAAACAAGTTCTCTTTGTTTGATTTTCAATTTCAAATTTTGAGGGTAGATTTCAACATTGTCTTGTATAGTTAAATTTGTTCTTTTTTTGTTCAAAAACAAATCGAAATATTCTGATTTGGTATTTAAATAATTGTATCTAGTAAATCTAGAACAGCTTACTCTATTCGTTCATCCAAAAATATAGCTGAAGTAAACAAATGAATGTAGAGACGAAAATACCATTTCGCTGCTATGAAAATCCGAATTAAATAATATGGACTAATAATATAAACGAAATATGCAGCTTACAAAAGAAACAATATCATGTGGTGTATACATATATATGTTTGAAATCTATCTACCTTACAGGCCCTGATTGAAGCGTCTCCTCCTTTTCTATTCGTTATTTTTGAAGCCAATATCAGATATAGAATAGACAGATCAGAAACTATACGCGTTCAACTTAAATATTAATCGCAATGCCTTTGAAATTTTAATGTTTGTAATAACGGTTATAAATTGGGAATGTTGTAAACAATTTTGATACGTACGCACCATTAACAGAAGGTTGAAATTTGTCGCCTTGTTTATCAATAGAGGGGTGCTGATATTTACAGCACGGTTATAAAGACACAGGCTCTTTTGTAGTAGGTGACGAAGAAAAAAAACGTTCAAAAATAATAATAAGTTTCAAAGGTATCGTGATTGTTTTTGAGACCGCTTATAATATTGACAATGAATCGAGTGGTACAGAGATGTAAGAGGCGTGGTGGATGTGTGGGTTGTGCAGGCTGGGTCATGTGGGACGGGCGGTCGGTGGGCGCGACGCGGGGGCGCGGCTGGGGCCCGTGGTGGTGCTCGCCGCGCCGCACGTGGCCGGCGCACGCCCAGCGCCACCCCTGGCAACCCGCGCGCCAACCCAAGTTTACCAGGTAATATAAACAAACATAGACGCACACACACGAACGCATTACTCTACACATTCATAGCATACGAGCAGTATAAATTTAATTTTGTGTAATCTCGGTAATCTCAATCTCAGTTTTTCACAATCAGTATTTCGAATAGACATCCGATATTAAGGATGCTAACTTACCCGATTTTACACGTCAATACGGGTCCTCTCGATCCATTAACGGTGCTTTTAGGGACCTCAAGCACCGGTCATCGTTCTCGTCAAACCCGTCGCGGCGTCGCTTGCGATGAAGGGCTCGATGAGTAAATTAGCCCATAGATAGACACAGCCCACTGAGTTTCTCGCCGAATCTTCTCAGTGGGTCGCATTTCTGATGCGGTGGTAGATTTCTCGAAGCACTGCTTTTGCTAGGGCCAGTGTTAGCAACACACCCGGTTTGAGCCCCGTGAGCTCACCTACACATCAAAGAGAAGCTGAAATAGCCTCTCAAGGCTATCAGCATAGGTAGGAAAAAAAACCAAATTTTCTGTATTTTTTTAAAGACAATTAAAAAAATGAAATTTTTGACTTGAAGCTTGTCTGACATTAATTTAATTCGCTAAATTCTAAATTTCAACCGAAAACATGGGACTGTGGTCTCGATCCTGAAACCTCTCCTGACCTCACCGTTTTTTTTCCTTTCAGCCAGTATAATGGTTTGCGTGTAAACTGCTCCTTTGTTTTAACGGTAACCTAACACGACCTATCCTATTCTTTCCTTTTCATTCCGTGTCTTCAGGCCTCCCACAAACTTTAGTATTAGAATATGTAGTATCATAAATAATTTATATTGTTCGGGCTCAGAGTCCCATGTTTTCTGTTTAAGTTTGTGGAAGAGCCTTTAAGATTTTGCTAAAACAATAGTTTAGTTGAAATTTTGTTACATTTAGTTTATATAGTATTAGTGGGTACTTTGACATCTATGAGAGCATTCATTTAGTACGTAGATAGGTGTATAACTGTATGCTAGCGGATTTTTTTCGGGTTGACATGAAGAGAGTAATGATTGGCTGCGGGGTTGTCCAGGTAAACGCAAGCACGACGGGGGTCACGAGAACCAAGGGGGAGAGTCGAAGCGGCGGCTGGGCGCGACGGCGTGCGGGTGGGGGTCGCCGGCGGCCGCGAGCTAGTGCCGTCCCCCGCCCCGGCCCCGCCCCCGCCGCCGCCCGCCCTCGCCCCCGCCGGCGCCATTCGCGGTGAGCCCCCGCTTGGAGCACTACAAACTGTGCGGGGGAGCACTTGCCGCGTCCCCAGCGCCAGCCGCGAGGGTCCCCGACCCCTTATTTTTTCTATATATGTGTTTTTTTATTTGATTTTCAAGTTTTCGATTTTGTATCGCATCGATTCCGTAAAAATCTTAAAGTAGGACGTTATGAAATGTTTCGATTGTAAGTTTTCCGTTATGCTTATGTTTTGTCTGTCGTATCGTATCGGCCGTATATATATTTGTTTGATATGTAAGGTAGGGGCGACGCGCGGCTGCGGTTTCCTGTTTGCGTCCGCGCGCTCGACTCTGGAAACCCTCGACTGTCTGTTTTTTTTTTAATACATGTTATTCGATATATTTTATTCCTGCGAACGCATTTTGCGATGTGATGTGTATTTTAGCAGTAATTATTATATTGTAAGAAGTTTGACTGTTGTTTTTTTGACACACTTACAACATAGGGTTACACATGATGAATCGAATGTAATAATGAACTGTGACGACAGCGGCGACTGCGGCTGAGACGCGATGATGAACCACCTTTTTTGTACTCGACAACATTTCCGACTGTGTTCCTGCTTTAGTTTTTTGCTTTATTTTTATTACATATTTCCCTTAAAGTAAAATGCATTAGTGTGAGGGAGAGTAGTATTGTAAAAGTTCAGGATTCCTGTATGATTATTATGTAATGATGCTGTACTAAACTTTGTTTTTGTATTCTCGACCACATGGCACGTCCGTACGTACGTACTGTTGGAACTCTGACTTGTAACGACAATCTTGTATCAGTTTAATATGTGGAATAAAATTGCAAAACTGTGTTTGCCTTATTACATGTTTGTTTTATTTGTTGAATTTGCGCGATGTACACTTACCTACGTTTATAAAGAAGTTTAAAGATATATTTTACATAGCGGCAGTACTTTTTGAATATATCTCTATCATCATCAACAGCCTTTATCTGCCCACTGCTGGACATAGGCCTTCCCCAATGCCTTCCACATAACGCGGTCCTCCTCCTTCCGCATCCAACGACTTCCCGCCGTGCGCACGAAGTCGTCAGTCCACCTGGTTGGAGGACGCCCCACGCGATATATACTAAAAGATATATATCTCTATATCTTTTAGTAATTATCTTTTCGATGAGAATGGTGAGCAGCATTGCAAGAAATATTTAAAATTATTAAAAATGCTCTCGCTAAGGCAGATATAAGCAGTCTCTACTCTCGCTGGCCTACCAGTGCTGGAATAGCTCTTAGGTTAGGTTCCTCCAGCGAATAGGTACCAAAAAAAATGAAAATAAAACTTACCGAAATCGTAAAGCCCGTTAAAAATACTAACGAGTACATATAATGAGGTATAATCTAGGTATCTGCTTACCTGCATTTTTATGAGTCTAAGAATTGATTTAGATTGGTATGAGAAAGCTCATTTCTGGTAATATTCGATATTCGCTTCTGCAACTTTACGGAACTATTACAAGAATAAAGTTACGTCAGATAGCGCTCAGTTTCCATTGGCTTAGTACAAAGTAACGTACGTACCAATGGTAGGAAATTGTGATAGTTTTTGATTAAATAATTATATTACAACATGCCATTTAAAAGAATGCAGCAGTAACGCCAGACAACATTAGGCAGCGGTTTGGTTGAGGCCTTCGCGTTTCTGATGATCAGCGTGTCACGGACCACGGTAACCATTTACTTGATAGTAAATGTGAACCGTATGCCCATCTGCCTACAATGTAATTTTTTTAATATTATTTACATTTGTCTTTTTTTATTTGTTCTACCTAAGCTGATATCCTTGAGAGGCTATGCCAGCGTAATCCTAACATGTAGGTGAGCTCTCGGGGCTCAAAACCAGAGTTTTGCTAACACTGACCCTCGCAAGAGCAGTACTTCGCAGAATCTACCACCGAATTGGAAACGCGACTCACTGAGAAGATCCGGCGAGAAACTCAGTGGGCTGTGTCTATAGGTTAGGCTGATGACCGGTGCTTGAGGTACCTAAAAGCACCGAAAAGAGGATCCAAAATGACGTTTAGGGCGATGTCGACTGTTTACCATTCGGTCCGCAGGATCGGGTATGCAGTAGTACTCTTAAATCGTCATTGGTTTTATAAATACTACAAAATTGTACGGTGGTGTTTCGTTAACTAAACATTGTAGTATGAGTCAATAAAACACAAGGATACGGGTAAAGTTTTGTATTAAACTATGTCGGCGAGTGATGTCCGGCGGGGTGCCGTCATACGGTGTCAGGTAGAGCGGGAGGGCGGGGTCGCGGCGGCGGGCGAGGAGGGGGCGGCGGCCGGCGGGGGGTCCGTCTCCCACGCCGCCGGCACCACGCGCCCAGCACTGCGGCACCCGCGGCACTACCACCGCACGCCACCCACCACCACGTCCACGACGACGAGCTGCCACCAGACACTCCCTTCTCGCCTACAACCACCCACTCACCACTACCCTCCACGCTAACACATCCCTCAACCTGAACATCTCTACTTTAGGACTTGGCATTACGAAATTGGGGTATAGTGAATGAATGAATCTCACATATGTTTTATTCATTTTGCAATTTTTTTTAAGCTGAAATATACAAAATGAATAAAATAAAAGCGAGACAGCATCGTAAACTGTTCTAATCATATCGTTTCAAATAAAAATAAATAATAGTTTTCTAACACCGCTTAACATATTTCTCTCTGTATTTTAATCTGAACTAGAGATGTGGTGACAATTTAATGCGAATTAAGAAGGACGCAACTTCAGGACAAGTCTAAAGTTTAGTTTTCAGAAGTACTTTTAAATGTGGCCCATACGATATTCAACAAATATTATATCGAACTAGAAATATTACTTACATAGAACTAGAACCGATTCAATATATAACTGATGCTAAGTTTCCATTTTGATTTTGTGAGAAGACTACTTATTTCGAATTACTTAGAATCGCAGCTTGACCGCACGCTATTGTTGGACTCTTTCACAAAAGGTCAACACGCACACGCACCCTTGTCGTTATTCATTGAATATTGTATGCCTATCTCGAAGTTTTATTCATGTTATTTTAGATATTTCTTTTAATTTACCTTTTATGAGCATGCAACTATCATGTACTAAAAGCGTGATAATGAAACCGACAGTCGTAGCTTCATTGCCAAATGAGTTTTGACCTGTTTTAATAAGAATTGATTTTGAATGACTGTTCGCTCTTCAGCGAACGCATTGCCATTACGTATTATTATTTTGAATGATTTCCATGCAGAACATGGGTATTGTTGAATGAAGTTTAATTACCTACATATGTAAGAAATTAAGTCTATTTTGATTGTTCTCTTACCGCACGGACATTGAGATGAATATTTTCTAAATGAAAATAGGTTGCTTTAGTCCTTAGTAAGGTAACCGTTATTATTTGACTTAAGTTACCTGTTAAATATTTAGGCTTTATGTGACGATTAAATTTAGTGACTTCACAAGATGAAGGTACAATGAGCACCATGAATCGCATTAAGCCAACGTTCGATACTCATGCGTGTGAACACGAAGAGAAATGAACTGCGAAGAGTCGTGCATAAGTGTGCTTTTAGAGTGAAGCATGCAGAAGAGTGAGTGCTCACGCGGCGAAGTGGGCGGGGGGGGCGACTGACGCGGTCAGCGCGGGACGGCGAGCACGAGCGCGAGCACCGTCGCCAGCACGCACGCGCGGCGCCAGTCCGCCCCGCCCGCGCCTGCACACAACCACCCGGCCGACACCCGCGCTCGCTACTCAACGCTTACACATCCCCTCGGGGTGACCAATCAATAACAAGCAATCATGCTTTCATACTCTCATAAATATATTTTTTTATGATTGAAGCATAACTGGTGGCCGAAGGCCTTTCCAGTTTCACCAGGTCAGGTGGGCGAGCAAAGGCTCAGCCAGGAGAGGTGGGATTAGTTAACAGCTGCCCGAGCGCCTCCGAAGGAGACCTAACAACTCAAGAGCAGCTGCTTCGCGAATGAATCTACTACCGGATCGGAATCGCGACCCGCTGACAAGATCCGGCGAGAAACTCAGCGAGCATGGGTGACTCTCATAAATAATGCGCGAGCAACACTTGCTGTAACGCGCTATATGTGCCGGGATATCAGGCCACACTGCCTCGTTCATTATAGTAATTTCTCGACATTCCAAACCGTGATCGCATTTAAAATTAAATCTCTTCAAGTTCCGACGCATAAGTACAGTGCATCACAGCTTGACATTGATTGGTCCCCCTACACCACAACTAAGGTACTATTCATTTGTAAAAGTCTGGAAGTTTTACAGTTTTGAAAACTGCTACTTCAGATAAATAGGTTAGAATATCAGATGAATAGCGCAAGCCTTTATTTAGTACACGTTGAGTGCAGCCTATCGGGGGGTCCAACTCACCAGGCGGGGGGCACTCTCCCGCTCACTGGAGACATGCACTTCCTGATGGGACCCAGCCGTTCGCGCAGTAGGAGGAATAGTGGAAAGAAGGTTAAGCTAAGAAGTCAACTACCTACTTTAGCGTTTAGATTTTCTTTAGCTTTAAAGATTTAAGTCACATTAGTTTGAATTTAACACAAAAAGAAAATGCGTGCGGATCAAAATTATCAATTATTTTAATTTTTTTAAGAAAAACAATCTTTCTTTAAATAATATTTTCTTTCTAATTTCAATCCACACACACACAAAAAGTATTTAGTTTACAATAAAGCTAACACAGAAGCACAGTCAGAAAAATCCCATCAGAAAATGTATGATCCCGACCCCATAGTGCGATGACTCAATGCAAGCTTCATCCCATCGGATTGACAACACGATTATACACCAATGCACCGTATTGCGAATAAACAATATCTTTATTTTTTAAACAATCGAGACGTTTTTGATTCGGACGAGTGAAATTACTCCTCTGAGTCATCACAGTATTAAGAAAATATGAAGAACATTAACACTCAAAGTCGAAGAATGGATGCAGTAAAATGAAATGAAGAATATTTAGATATCCAAAAAATAATTATAGGTACATAAAGAGGACATCCGAAATAAAAATCTGTGAACTTGCAACATATTGTTATATTAATCTATAATTCAACAATATACCTATGGGACATTTCGTCTAAACACCTAAGTAACATACATTGATCTTCTGAGAGAAAGATTGCATTGAACCATCATTACTGAGAAAAAATTGTGAGATAATATTATTAACACTTTGTTTATAATAATTAACTGTTAGTTCTACTGTGTTTAGTCACAATATTTTACAGCGACATATAGAATAAAAACTGGAGGGAGCAGTAGCGACAGACCATTGAATTTGGCAAATTAATGATTTAAAAATATTCTAAAATTTTCATACAATGTGAAATTTATTATAAGCGTTTACTTCTTGTTATTAAACATTAATTGTAGTCGTGAAATGTCGAAACTCTTTAATTTGGCACACGTTTTTGTTGAAGTTGCCATGATGCGAAAAATATAGGTAAGCAATTTTTTTTTTTATATTATGCACGAGACTGTTCTACTGCTGACTCCGTTGTTTTAAGAATACTTCGAATGATCTACATAGTTTATTTTAAATCGTTAGGATTAACGATAGTGGATAATAGATAGTCAGTACTTTTTTTTTTAAACAAAACAAAATTGCACTCGTGTGGTGTACAATCATAAGTGTCATTCATTGTGCAGTGCCAGTTTAAATCTTTACAGTGAAATTCGTGATAAATTTAGCAGAGAATATAACCGATGTGTCAATAATTTAATTACTTTTTAAAACTGTATTATTTTTCTTAAAACCTATTTATTATTTCAAGTACCTACGTAAAACAAGACTAGAATTGATTAGTTTTCGAAACTATTTCATATGGTCTACAGTATATTATTACACGTTACTAACAGTGAGTCGATATTTGTGAACTTACAGATATCAGTGATAATAGTACTTAAATTAACGTTTTTGTCTACGGGAAAATTAAGTTCAAAGTTGGTTAAAATCACATTTGATGTAGATATTAGCAGTAGGCAGCGGCTTGGCTCTGCTCCTGGCATTGCTGAAGTCCATGGGCGACGGTAACCACTCACCATCAGGTGGGCCGTACGCTCGTCTGCCTACAAAGGCAATAAAAAAAAAAAAAAAAAAAAAATATAAATATTTATGCCCTTAAAAAAAATCGAATCACTGTTGTATATTTGAATTAGAGGGACTTGACCTTTACGTCTATTTGTAAATTATCGCGATATTGTTGTGACAGACACGTGGTATTGTGCTTTTACTTCAAACCTCCCGGACTTCGTTCTTAGACAAACTCAGCTAAAATCGATTTTAATCGAACCGATTAGAATTGATCTTGTGTAACCGCACGAATAATAATATCCAATTCGCATCGATACCAACGCGTTTCACGCGATCATATTTCACTATAGTCAAAGAAAAATACCATATGTACGCTTTATGACATCTTTGTTTTTATTGAGTATCACTGTACTTTTTAGTGGATATTTTTGACGTTGCTCATTATTAGTATAATATGTAAATAAGTAATAAATAAATTTGGATTCCCTGTGTTATGGGTACCAGAGAGTAACAAACATACTTATATACGTTTAATATATACATATATAGATAATAATCATCAAAGAGCAAATAAATCTGTTTATCACACGAATCTTTGCCCGATGTGGGAATTGAACCGGCGACCGTCGGCGCAACGATCAGAGGCGCTAACTACTCCATCATCGAGTCAGTCAAATATAACTTGGCGTTTTTTTTTTTTTAAACTAGTAACGAAATAAGTTTTTATTTGGTTCGTGTTCAAGGTATTCATTATTTCGATCTTCACAACTTTGTACTTAGTTATAAAAATGATCACTTAGATCCAAGAAATGAAGTAATTTATTATATATTTTTGTTTTCTTCGACTAAACGAATTTTTTTGTGATTTAATTTGTTTGACTGGCTTTCATCAAATCTGTTTAAAAGCCCTTGAAGAAGTTTCTTGTGCAAGAGCAATTATATTTAGTAATCTTAAATTGCTTTTATATTGTTGTGAGCGAATTTATACTCTTACTAAAATTAAAGATTCATTAAGACGTAGGTATTATTTACTCACTTCTGTTGGTCTTAAAAAAATATTTAAAAACTTGCTTGATACATGTTTTCTACCAATTAAAATAACTTTGAAACCGATTTGGAATAAAAAATGCGTACGCCCAAAATTAAATTACCTACTCTAGTACTTTTAACTTACCCTTGCTCTGTAGAGCTTAGTTGATTTAAAATTCAACTATTGATCGACTAAAATCGTTGCGAATAACCACAGTATAAAATACTTTCAATTGTAACAATTTGATATGAAAATCATGAAGCGTACATACGGTAGTGGTTCGATGATCGCGTGTGGTCGCGTGCGATACCGCGTGCGGTCCAGCGTGCGGTCTCGCTTGCGGCCCCGCGTGCGGTCTCGCTTGCAGTCCCGGGTGCGGTCCCGCGTGGTTACTAACAGTGCTGGTGGTGTTGCAGCGGGTGCGCGCAGTGCTGTAGGCCGGAGCACAGCGCGGCGCGCGGCAGACACGCGGCTCCGCACGGCAGCGCGCCGCCCGGACACGCCGCGCCCTCCGCCGCCGTCACCTCCGTCCACACGGCGCGCCAGCCGCTGCCGCCCACGGACTTGTCCGCTATTATGAACCTGGAACGATGCGACACACCCGTTGAGCCAGGACCCTTAAACTGCGATCCTTAAGACACATTTTTTTTATGGTAACTAGTGACATCTTGTAGCAGATACCCCTAAACTTATATGTTGTTAAAGTTAAGGCATTTAATTATTGTATAACTCATTATTATCCTGCCCTTCTCCCAGTCACCTGGGATCGGCGCAACATGTTTTCTCCTTCCATACTCTTCTATCATATACCATTTCTTCGCTCACTTCCCTCTTACTCATATCGTCTTTCACGCAATCCATCCATTTCTTCTTAGGTCTACCTCTTCCTCTAAATCCTTCCACATTCAAAGTTAACGTTCTCTTACCAACCTCATTTTCATTTCGTCTCATCACATCTCCATACCATCTCAAACGCGCACTTCCCAGCTTCTCTGTCACAGGTGCCACTTTCAGACTTCCTCTAACATATTAGTTCCGTATTCTATCCATTCTAGTTACTCCACACATCCATCGCAACATTCGGATCTCTGCTGCATGCAATTATTGTATAACTAAACACAGAAAATGCAAAATTAATAAATCAGACAAGTTATTCGTTATAGAAAATTTACAAAATACTTAATTAAAAATAAAATATGGGATAGGTAATAATGTTACTGCCATCTACAGGAACAATGAGAAACTATTCGAAGCGTAGCCATCTAGCGGCCGACGCCTGTAAACATTTTTGTTGAGTGCTTGAGTTGCTTATCTAAGCAACTTATATAATTATAACTTATATAACTTATATAACATCTTATCTTATCTTAGTCAGGTCATAAGTATTGTCACACAGTAAAAACTTTTCTTTTAGAATGCTGGCCACAAAAAAGTTTATTGAATTCGAATTTCGAATTGTTCATGAAAATAAAAATGTATACTTTTAGAATTTTACTCATTTTTAAATATGGAGTGGACGCTTAAAGAAGACCGTGCTGCAGTTATTGCGTTGCATCGTTGCGGTTAAGCGCAACTTCAAATTTTTAACATACTGAAAATTTTGAATATAACCAAAAGATTCGTTTATCGTACCATCAAACGATACAATGAAGAAGAATAGTGTAGATGTCAGGTCAAGAAGTGGTCGCCCTCGGTCTGTTAGGACTCCAGCAGTGATAAAAGCTGTGAAGGCGCGAATTCAAAGAAATCCCAAACGTAAGCAGAAACTGTTGGCCCTTCAGATGGGGTTAAGCAGAACCACGGTGAAAAGGGTGTTAAATGAAGACTTAGGGCTTCGGGCATATCGAAGAAAAACAGGACATCGTTTGAATGCTCGTCTAATGGACCTGAGACTGAAGAGATGCCGCGCTTTGTTGAAGCGGTACGCGGGAAAAAAATATCGGGAAATTCTTTTTTCGGATGAAAAAATTTTTACCGTAGAAGAGAGCTACAACAAACAAAATGATAAGGTGTACGCACACAGTAGTGAAGAAGCGAGCAACCGTATTCCGCGTGTCCAACGAGGTCATTTTCCATCCTCGCTCATGGTATGGTTGGGAGTTTCTTATTGGGGCTTAACAGAGGTACATTTTTGTGAGAAAGGTGTAAAAACGAATGCAGTTGTGTATCAAAATACAGTCCTGACGAACCTTGTGGAACCTGTTTCTCATACCATGTTCAATAACAGGCACTGGGTATTCCAACAAGATTCGGCGCCAGCTCATAGAGCGAAGAGCACACAAGACTGGCTGGCGGCGCGTGAAATCGACTTCATCCGGCACGAAGACTGGCCCTCCTCCAGTCCAGATTTGAATCCGTTAGATTACAAGATATGGCAACACTTGGAGGAAAAGGCGTGCTCAAAGCCTCTTCCCAATTTGGAGTCACTCAAGACATCCTTGATTAAGGCAGCCGCCGATATTGACATGGACCTCGTTCGTGCTGCGATAGACGACTGGCCGCGCAGATTGAAGGCCTGTATTCAAAATCATGGAGGTCATTTTGAATAAACTTTAGTGTCATAAGAATCTATGTTTTGTCAAGTTCATTTTGATATATGAATGGTTACATAATGAATAAACTTGTTTCAATTATTTTACATTAAACATGTGACAGAGTTTATGACCTGACTAGGTATAAGTAATTTATGTGTATTATCTATGCGCTTAATCTTCATCTATCTTACCAAATCTTTTTAGACCTATACCAAGCCGCGGCTCTTCGCGAAAAACTTCCGCATTTAATTTCTATGTAATTATTTCCAAAATAATGTCCCTTAGTAAAGCATAGCATATTATGTTTGAAAATAGCTCTTTGAACAAATTTTAATTATGCGTTATCTATATTGGCTCTTTTGGTTAACAATTTGCCGATCAATGACCTATATATAATAATACATATTTATTTGTTAGTTTAGATTTAAATGTATTTCCACTCACGAGAGTCTTATAGAGTTGGAGGAGGAGAGATATTGCCAGCGGTCGGCGGGCGCCTTCTCCCCGCACAGCTCGAGCGGGGGGCCCGGGCTCTCGTACCACAGGCGCAGCACGGCCGCCGGGCAGCCGCGGTCTAACACAACCATTCAATAATTTTTTTTCACAGCCCACCTGGTGTTAAGTGGTTACTGGAGCTCATAGACATCTACAACATAAATGCGCCACCCATCTTGAGATATAAGTTCTAAGTTCTCAGTATAGTTACAACGGCTACACCACCCTTTAAACCGAAACGCATTACTGCTTCACGGTAGAAATAGGCAGCGTGGTGGTACCTACCCATGCGGACTCACAAATGGTCCTACCACCACACTATCAACAACCCTTTGGAACATTAAAGAAGATTATTGAATCTTGAAGATTATTGATTATTGAATCTTACAAATAATTGTATTTGTAGTGAACATATAGTTTTAATATCATCAAATATACTTCGTGAAGTTGCCGTGGCCTAATGGATAAGACGGCTAGTGCATTCGTATCGAGCGACGCGACCAATATTTGAATCCCGCCGGCGGTTACTAATTTTGCTATTGAAATACGTACTTAACAAATGTTCACGATTGACTTCCACGGTGAAAGAATAGCATCGTGATGTAGTGTGTAAGATAGTAGTAAGTCAGTCAGAAATATAGCGTTGTGCAATTAAGACGTGCATTTTATTATATCCCGCGAACCCCGCACACCCTAGCCAGTCGTGCGATAAAAATCGCCGCGTGCATATAATTAGAATTCGCAAAACTTATAATTTTCCTAACTACCAGTGCTAGGGCGTCTTGTGAGCCTGGTCGGGTAGCTACCACCACCCTACCTATTTCTGTCGCCTATGCCTGTCTAAAAATGAGACATGACCTCTCACGGTAGATGGCGGTATTTACGTTGCTAATGTTTATTAGCTTCCGTAACCACTTCAACCACCAATCGGAACGATAAAAGATATTTATGAAGTTCTTATATATCATTAACTTAGCATTAGAGTTTATAAACATACCGATGAGATGTCCTTCGACAGCAAAGAACTGAAAGTTGAGCAAGAGTCTCTTCCCGGGACGAGCGGTGACGAACCAGTTGCAGACCCGGGAGGCGGCAGCGCGCGCCGGCGGCTCGTAGGGCAGCGGGTAGCGCGGTGACGTCACCACGCCCCACTCCGCACCAGACATGTTGCCCCCGCAGTCGCCGAATATAGACTTGGCTGGCTGTTAGAGAGAGACAGGGAGACAGGCTCTATAAATAACTATTCCCCTACCCATTTGCTAGAAAACACATCACCCCTGCCCTAAGTGACAGGGAGTTTTTCGCCTGGGCAGAGGGGTTTGCCCCGAGGCCCGTTCTGTGCCCCCGTAAGGGGGTAGGACGACCCTTCTTCTTCTCATTCGCCAGAGACTATTCCAACTATGCTCGGACGGGTAGGTGAGCTCGAGGGCTCAACTGAGAGGATTTGTTAACACTAGCCCTACAAAGAGCAGTGCTGCGCGGAATCCACAACTTTATCGGAATCCCGACCCACTGAGAAGATCCGTCGAGAAAGTCTTGAAGTCGACGTGGCCTAAAGGATAAGACGTCCGGTGCATTCGTACATATCTAGCGATGCAACGGTGTTCGAATCCCAGGCGGGTACCAATTTTTCTAATGAAATACATACTTAAGAAATGTTCACGATTGACTTCCACGTTGAAGGAATAACATCGTGTAATAAAAATCAAACCCGCAAAATTATAATTTGCGTAATTACTGGTGGTAGGACCTCTTGTGAGTCCGTGTGGGTAGTAGTTACGACCACCCTGCCTATTTCTGCCGTGAAGCAGTAATGCGTTTGGGTTTGAAGGGTGGGGCAGCCGTTGTAAGTAAACTGAGACCTTAGAACTTATATCTCAAGGTAGGTGGCGCATTTACGTTGTAGATGTTTATGGGCTCCAGTCACCATTTAACACTAGGGGGGCTGTGAGCTCGTCCACCCATTTAAGCAATAAAAATAAATCAGGGAACATATTTTGGATATATATCTGGGATGGAGGAGGTGTGGATTGGGAGAGGCCTATAATAAATAATAAATAAATAATAAATATTTACTAACAATCACTCCACGTTAACTGGTCCCGTGCTAAGTTCGTAAAGAACTTGTGTTACAGGTACCAGATAACGGAAATAAATGTAAGATTTTTATTATACACATACATATTATATACATCCATAACCCTGGAAAAGACATTTCATATTTATATTATACAAATATCCTCCCTTGGCGGGATTCGAACCCGCGACCCCCTTGTATAGTGACCATGTCACTATACCAGACGGCCGTTAAATGTCCGGCCAGCTTTGTCCAGCGATGGACGACTGTGGGCTGATGATGATGATGATCCGACCTCTCACCTCAAAGACGTATCTAGCCTTGAACCCCGAGGCAACGTGTTCAGCGTCAGTCCGCAGCGCGATCATGAGTCCGAGCGCCCCCCGCGGCGAGTGCAGAGGCCCGGGCGCGGCGGCCCCGCACCAGCGGCCCAGGGGCACGCGCGACCCCTCGCGCCCCACCCACCACGCCTCCACCCAGTCCTCGCTGCAGGTCGCACCACTAGACAAACATCGAGCTCAGGTTTTTCAATCGAACATCTCAAATAATTATTAGTAATACTCTATAATATATATCTACTTAAATATATTAATACGTAAAGCAAAAACCTTGTACCCCTTTTTACGAAAATTGCGCGGACGGAGGAGTATGAAATTTTCCACACTTGTAGAGAATATAGAGGAGTACAGAACGCTAAAATTTTTTTAAAATAAAAAATTGAAAATAAATTTTGATACACTTGAATTAAAAATAGTGTAGGAAAAAATGATTTTATTGTAAAAACGGCGTGGGGTGGGGTTTTTAGTTTTTTTTAAATTATTATTTCTTTTTAATTTTTAGTTGAAAATCAATTTTTTCGACAAGCTCATAGCCCACCTGGTTACGTGGTTACTGGAGCCCATAGACATCTACAACGTAAATAATTATATTAAGTTATTGGATCTGATGGATTCTTAAGGACGTGTCTCATTTGTCTCTGCAATCTCTGTAGTTATAGTGCAATATATCTGTAGTTAGAGCTACAAACTCACCCATACAAGCCGGCGGTGGCGTTCCAGGCGTCCGCCCTGACCTTGAAGTGGTCGAACACGACGGTGACCTGCTCGTTGGGCGTCGCGTCCAGCATGTACGTGCAGTTCGTGTGCGAGGGGTAGTTCGAGGGGTAGCGCGGCGAATTGAACTCCCCGCGCTTCTTCGACTCGGAGCGGTACGTGAAGGCGCACTCTCCGCCAGGAGCCGCCGTGCCAGGAACTCGATATTCTGTAACGACACAAATAATATCCTTTTTTTATTGCCCCTGTTAGGCAGAAGCTAAGGATCGAGATGGAGGAAAATCGTACGGGATAAACTGATGCAGCGGGGGAGTCACGATCCTCAGTAATGAGGAAAACGACGCGAGGAGGAGGCAGACGAGCATATATTAGATAGGAGGAGCATAGGTTACTGGTGGTAGGACCTCTTGTGAGTCCGCGCGGGTAGGTACCACCACCCTGCCTATTTTTGCCGCGAAGCAGTAATGCGTTTCGGTTTGAAGGGTGGGGCAGCCGTTGTAACTATACTCAGACCTTAGAACTCATATCTCAATGTGAGTGGCACATTTACGTTGTAGATGTCTATGGGCTCCAGTAACCACTTAGCAGCAGGTGGGCTGTGAGCTCGTCCACCCTTCTAAGCAATAAAGAAAGAACACGTGAAGGCGAAGGTGAAATAGCCTCTCAAGGCTATCAGCTTAGGTAGGGGAATAAAGTCGCATTATAACATACCAGTCTCGAAGGTGTACTTGGCCTTGAACCCTCGTCCCTGCAGCTCCCCGGAGGAGAACACCATGACGAGGCGCGGCCCGTCCGACACGAGGGCGGGCGGAAAGTCTGCGGCGCGCTCACCGCACAGCTCCGCGTCGTGCTTGTCGTAAGAGTCCGTCGCCTCCTGGCCGCGGAGGTACACCTTCAGGTACCCGTCGTTACACGTGCTGCTGTCAACGTACCGATCATATATTAATGTTGTCGCAATTTTTTTAATAAACATAATACAAAAGGCTTTAACAACGAAAATTATTTTAATTAAAAAATGTAAATGACAAACAAAACATACTTTTCTTTGCATATTATACAATATGTCGTAGGTTAGGTTAGGTTGTAGTGGTGCGTATGCGCATGCGCACCACATTACTAGCACTTGCGATTTCGTATTTTGTATGTCATGCTCACATTTACCAAAACGACATGGTCATTGTGAATTCAATGTTCATTTCCCTGCTTTGAAATTGTAAATGTCAGTTGAATGCACATTAGCCAAACGAGGAGGCAAATGTGCACATTTACCGGAAAATGTGTACATTTGCCGCAATATCTACTTTTACCGTAACATATACACACATGTGAATAATACAAAAAAAATCACAAAAAGAAAACCGACTAACAGAACAATATGAGAACAATATAGTCGAAGTAATTTGAACTTGCATTATTGAGGATGACTCAATAAGTACTGGTCAGATCTTGATAAAAATTTAATGGAACTTCTTGAAAAACACCAGCTTTCAAATAAAAATGGAATCATCAAAATCGGTTCACCTATAAAAAGATTCTAAAAATGATACCCTTAAATATGCAGTCTAATTTGATAACTCCCTTCTCTTTACGAATTGACCAAAAACTCACTAGCTGTCAGTCATCATGAGATCTCTGAGATAATCCGCTCGAAAGAAATTAAATTTGATATAGAAATTCATTTTCCGATGCAGGCATTCACTAGGATATGACGTAAATCCTAACAAGAATTGATTTTTCATCGCATACACAGTAGCAACGCATATGCCGTAGCATAAGTCGTCTCAGTAAGCGTTGCTGCTTATGGAGTTTTTTTATCCCGGAAAAAGGAATTACGTTTTATTTTATACTTTTTAAATGACTACTACGTTTGGTACCTAGGTCTGGTGGTCTAAAAAAAATATTTTTGACGTTTTGACCTTTCAATTAAATATTATGCGACTTTTTGGCGGGAACGCGAGGGGCGAAGTTGTGTGAATTGTTTTATTTTGCTATTTAGTGTTTCTTCAGGTTTAAATGTGTAATAACGGTTGTTTATTAATTATTTCATATCTGTGAAAGTGCATAAACGTGGGAAAATGAAACAAAGTTGCTGGACGTGGCTTCTCGGGATCCTCCAAAAAGTCCACTAAAAAAGTCTCAGTAAATAACCACCAGTTTACTGAGATTATACTACACCCTATATCATCTCATTTCATACGAATTGATTAATGTCTCAAATTAATCATCTTCATTTCATTTCACTCCATATTATCATTTTTCATAAAAATAAGAATATAAATTAAAATAAGACATGACTTAAAGGTCTAAGCTACCAGGTCATAAAATCCCTTAAAAAAATCCGGATAAGGTAACATAAATATAATGAATTCTTATTAAACGTAATTATGTTCAATCAATATCCACTTACTCCGGCTTGGGATTCTCTCCCTTTGGTATCGAAAAATTCTGAAATTCTAAACGCACCCGCTCCAAATTCTGTGAATCTTGCATACCGTATATAAAATATCTGAAAGAAATTATTTCATACGTTAAATTTCATAAGTTTATATTAATACGTATACAGTTGCTAAGGTATGAAAACGGATTTACATAAATCAATAAATAGGGAAAAACAATCATTTGCAAAGCAAGGCAAGAGACAGTATCATACAGATGACACTGTATAAGACACGCTAGTTGTTTCATGCAAATCACACTAGACTGTGTTAATTTAGAATTAATTTCGTATTAAATTAAATAGGCAAGGCGCTTAAAGCTCGAATTATTAACAGAATTTTTGATAATTTTCGAGAGAATGATTTCAGACCTCAACTGTTCAATGGAAGCCACACAAAACGAGAATACCACCCGCCTCATTGAGACAAAAGACTGAAGTGTTTTTTTTTATTGCATGGGTGGTTGGACGAGCTCACAGCCCACCTGGTGTAAAGTGGTTACTGGAGCTCATGGACAATTACAACGTAAATGCGCCACCCACCTTGGATATAAGTTCTAAGATCTCAGTATAGTTACAACGGCTGCCCTACCCTTCAAACCGAATCGCATTACTGCTTCACGGCAGAAATAGGAAAGGCGGTGGTACCTACCCGCGCGGACTCACATGAGGTCCTACCACCAGTAAAACGTTCCACGTGCCTTAAAGTTCACACTTAATATACCACCTACCACCAGTAAGATCAATATGAGACAAAAGATTGGAGTCTCAATAATATTGGACAATCTCCTCCTACTGATTTGAAGGATCATACTGATTTGAAGGATCACAAAACCAACAGGAGGGCGATAACTGTTTTGATTTTTATTACACGATGTTATTCCTTCAGCGTGGAAGTCATTCGCAAAAACATGTTAAGTATTTAATTATAAAAATGTTCACTTGTCAGCGGAATTCGAACGCTGGTACAATCGCGTCACTCGATGCGAATACACCGGCCGTCTTATCCTTTAGGCCGCGATGACGTATGTTTGTGTTTACCTCAGTTTCAAGGACCACAAATATTTTCAGATAGAAAAGCGCAACACGTGCTCGCTCGCTGGTATCTTATCTGTTCGCCTATCAACGCTACGTTGGATTGCTTTACCGGATAATAGAAAAAAAAAGTTAATTCTGTAGATTCCGAGACTTACCTACAAACAACTTTTTGTATATAGGGGAATGGATAATTTGGATGGTAGACGAAACCAGTCGATTCCTTTTTACTGAGGATCTTTTGATCGCATTCAGAGCCTCTAATGTGCTCCGCGTCGTGTTTACTTATAAAATCTGAAAGAGAAACGGTTGTAGTATTGGTATTGTATAAGTTTCTAGAAACTCCCCTAATTAGGGAATTACAAATGTATTTGCGATTGAACAGTCAATTATGGGGCGGTTTAGGACAACTTTTATTTATAGCTTGGTTTGATGGCTCGTTCATCACGATCCACCTGATGTCGAGTATTAACCGGAGCCCATAGACGTCTTCACGTGAAGGCCACCACCTTGAGACATGAGGTCTTTGTCTGTTTTAAGTATAACCGCTGTCCCACCCTCGAATCGGAACGCATTACTGCTTCACGGCAGAAATAGGCCGGGTGGTGGCACCTACCCGTGCGGACTCAAAATACACCCTGCTACCATTAAAGGAATTGTAAAGTAAGGGAATTATAAAATATGTGACCGTCGATAGAGTGACAGTGGCAAGCCATGCTCATTCCATAGACACAGCCCACTGGATTTTTCGTCGGATCTTCTCAATGGGTTGCGTTTACGGTCAGGTGATAGATTCTGCGAAGTACTGCTCTAGCTAAGACTAGTGTTAACAAATTCTCTCAGGTTAAGCCTGTGAGCTCACCTACCGTCCACGAGAACCTGGAATAGTCCCTAAGCTACCATCGAATAGGTAGGAAAAAAACGCTCATTTGAAAAGTGTGCATATAATCTTGAAAGGCAAAGGTTCGTTAAAGATATCCGTGGCGTTGTTAACTCACCTAACTTAACAAAACTTTCGGAAAACTCGAATATCCCCTTAAAGCCGCGGTTCTGCGTGGAGGCGGCGCGCGGCAGCGTGTAGAACGTGACCAGCAGCCGCTCGTCGCTGGAGTACAGCACGAGGTTGCGCTGCTGCCCGCAGTACGTGCCGATGGCCGCCGACGAGTTGTCGGGCCCGTCGTACACGCGTACCCAGTCGAAAGGGCAACTGAACAGACAACGGACCCTTCACGACTGACACGGCGGTGCAGCTTTTTTATTTACGATTGAGAGATTACTGGTGGTCCGGAGGCCGGTTTCACCAGGACAGGTGGGCGAGCAAAGGCTCAACCAGGAGGGGTGGGATTTGCTAACAACTGCCCGAGCGCTTCCGAAGGAGACCTAACAACTCAAGAGCAATTGTTTCGAGGGGCGTGGTGCAGTATTTAATGCCCCTATATAATAAACTCAAATGTTATTTATTTATTGCATGGGTGAAAAAGCTCACAGCTCGCCTGGTGTTATGTGGTTACCGGAGCCCATAGACATCTACAACGTAAATACCGCCACCCACCTTGAGATATGGGTTATAAGGTCTCAGTATAGTTACAACGACTGCCCCACCCTTCATATCGAAACGCATTACTGCTTCACGGTAGAAATAGTTACGCAAATTATAATTTTGCGGGTTTTGATTTTTATTACACCATGTTATTCCTGCACAGTGGAAGTCAAACGTGAACATTAGTTAGGTACGTATTTCATTAGAAAAATTGGTGCCCGCTTGCGGGATTCGAACACCGTTGCATCGCTGCATACGAATGCACCGGATGGTTTATCCTTTAGGCCACGATGACTTTGGAACCCATGACCCTCAGCGCAGCGGTCAGAAGCGCTCATCACTGCACCACCACTAGATCGTAAATGTTAATGATAGAGTTAGTTTAGACTTACTGAGGACCGCCGAAGAACAGATCGAAGTCTCTGAACTCGAGGCGTATGCGCTGCCCCGGCTGTCCGCTGAACAGGTAGTTGCACGTGACGTCTTTGGGATATATTCCTGGGTACGTCGGCGACAGGAGGAGCCCCGTCTTCCGCTTGCTCGCCTCGATTATGAACGAGCACAATGTATTGGGAACGGGGGTTCCCACTTCGAATTCCGCTACAAAAAGACATAAAAAAATCGGTTGTCTGTAAAGTCGGTTTACTGACGATAGTTGAACGTGACAACGTCATAAGAAAATACTGATGGAATGGTTTCATTTTTCAATTATCGCAATTATCGTTGCTATAAACAATTGACACCACATTCACTTTTCACTGAACTTCATACTTGACGAAAACATGTAAATGTATTATTGTATAGCAGCTATCCACGCGGATGCATCGCTCACTCAAGTAAGAGAGAGACAGATGTCGAACGCTGCCGAACGCGGAGGCCGATTGTGCCTTTTTGTCTCTCGTTGTGCGCTCTCGCTTGCACTTCAAGCCTTAAATGGAACGCCTCAGAGCGACGTAACTCCGCATGAGTCATGTTTTTTCGTGCGTGCAGCCGGCTCCATCGAATTATAAGACGTTGTCACGTCAAAAACAAATCAAACGACAACGAATCTGTTGATTAGAACAGCCTAACGTCGTAAATAGTTTGGCGAGACGGCCTTCGCGTATCAAATCAGAATTTATGACGCGAGTTTTTCCTTACTAAAGGACCAAGGCCGCCATAACGTCTCAGAGCTCCCTAACGTTTGCCTCTTGTTATCAGTGCCGGATTTAGGCTTGATATCGCCCTAAGCCCTCTTTGTCGCACCGTTCTTAATGCTATAATAAATTTTATGAACTTTAATCCAATATTTTTATTTTAAATTTAAAACATTTAAATTTAGAATATAATTTTGATTATAACTAATAAATATGGTATTACAGATAAATAATTAGTAAACATTAGACAAATAAATATATCTATTTTTTAATATTAATCAATACTTTTTTTTTATTATTCCGAACTCATTTTCAAATGAGACTTTTCAAAAGAGTCTTTACTTTTTTTCGTCTCTGAAATTTTGGTATTTCAAAAAATTTGCCGCCCCTCAAATCATGCCACCCTACGCCCGGACCTAGGCGTAAATCCAATACTATTCTCGTCGTATTCACACGATTCGTCGACGATGAATAGGGGTGACCTGATTCAGGAATGATTCGATAGATGTTTCCTGTTTGACAGTTGCTTCAAAATTCAGTTGAACGAAGCGAAGTAAGTTTGTGTCTAACTTCGAACTTCCGGACATTCGTTATGCATGAGAGTCTGGAAACGACTGAGTTCGACTTGTCTACCTTTTCGGGACAAACAAACTTCCACTTAGGCGGGTTTCTGTAGATTCAATAGTGTAATATCACATTTAGTATTACAATATATTTTGTTTGTTTGTTTGTGAAAACGTTCGGTAGCGTATTCAATTAACTCCGAATTTTTAACTAGGTATGTATATCATTACGTAGAACATTTTTTCTACGAAGCCCAAAATAATTATTAAAAAACTATTCAAATAGCGAAAAGTAGTTCTTTAAGACACAAACAATATGCATGATGCTTAATGTTTGGAATTCTTTTGCTCGAGAATTAAATTCTTCAAAGTTATTGGGTTTTAGACAAAAAAAAAAAAAAAAAATTGTTTCCTTTGTATGTTTTCTCAATTATCTTTCGTTTGCTTGTCGCTTCCCTTACTTCTTTTATATTTCGCTTTCGATTATGGGGAAAACGGAACTACCGTTTTTTTTTTCCAACAGTTCAAATTTTTATCAACGACGAATCTTTGAATTGCTGAAAATTTGAATCAACGACGACATCGAGTTTTTTTAAAATATTAGACAAGGTTAATTAATATCGTGGAAATTTCCTATTGTGAAGATGAAACTCAAATCAAACAACTACTAGGCCCCGAAGTACCGTTACTTCTTTAACTGTGTGTAATGTACTTAAGGTACGATTGCTAAATGAAATATTTTTCTGATGAAGTAAAGTAACACCATTTAGGTACATAATATATGCATAAAGTTAGAGCAAATGTTAAAGATTTCTTTTCCTGAAAATTAGACTGTAATTAGCACGATATTTAAATGTCAATACTTTAGTCGTCCACGACCACGAACTAAGTTTGGTATCAATTAAAATATTTATTACGGTTTCATCTCGTATTTTATTTATTAAAAGGTGAACCAATAACTGAGTCAACATAATATAATATAATAATATAACAAATAATAGAAACAAAAAGCCAATTAAAGGTCCTCACCAACATAAACAAGTTAAAACACTAGAGAAACAAAAAAAGCAATCAGCAAGCAAGAAACAACATAAGCAAAAGAAGGAATACATGAAACTTATTTAAATGTACATTTATATGTATATAAATAAATTGTCATTAAATTAATTCCGATGTTTAAAATGCTTCAACAGTTCTCGTTTCGATTGAGTCCCTCATCTTTCACAATGGAAATGATGTAATAACAATAAAAAAAATGCAAGATCAATCTGTAAAAACAGTTTTAGTTATTTCTACGACCAGCGAAAACCCAAGATAATGTTATTAGTTTAGGAAACTACAGAAAAAGTCGAGATTGTTCTTTTAAAGTAAGTTTATCTGTAAAGTAATCTAGGTCAGGGTTTTGTAAAAGTCTCCGTACGTAAACTGTTTTAACTTCATCTATCTTACTAGTGTATCTTGTATTCCTATCTATTGCTACCCTTAATTTCAACCTCATGCACCAGAGATAGAGCGCATTATAAACTCGCAAACTTTGATACCCAAATAATGCAAACTTGTCTACAATATTCATTGTTAAAGATACCATTTATTTGAAGATCGAGCATTTTCCTCGTCTCGTATATGTCTTTCGCCTCTGACATCGCAGAAAATTTCAGGTTTCAACGTGAAACTTAGCACTTTCGCAAGCTTTAAAAGGTTGCTGTTGCGAACAGCGGTTTCAAGGATTGTGGTCGACACCAGCATTGGATAAATGTTAGATTAGGTCGATTTCGTACACTGGTGTAGCCGGGGTGGTGGAGCTCGATGAGGTTTAGTCGATAGTTGTTACTAGTGGTAGGAGCTCTTGTGAGTCCGCGCGGGTAGGTACCACCGCCCCGCCTATTTCTGCCGTGAAGCAGTAATGCGTTTCGGTTTGAAGGGTGGAGCAGCCGTTGTAACTATACTGAGATCTTAGAACTTATATCTCAAGGTGGGTGGCGCATTTACGTTGTAGATGTCTATGGGCTCCATAACCATTTAACACCAGGTGGGCTGTGAGCTCGTCTACCCATCTAAGCAAATAAATAAATAGAAAATAAATATTTTTTCTCACAAAAAAAACCTCTGTTAGTGCATTCCACCAACCTACGAACCAACATAACTTACAGTCGGTTTCGTATATCAAGAAGAAACTCGCGACTAAACAACTCACATGCGTTGATAAAGCGATAAGTTCCAGTGAAGAGATTGGGCGGCGTGTACATCTTGTCTGTATAGAAGGAGAGTGCGACCGCGCGGTGCAGGGAGACGCGCTGTCGAGGCGGTATGGGCCCGCAGTATCGTCCCCCGAACGCCGAGTTCACCAGCTCGCCCGTCTCCAGAGACGCCATCTCCGAGTATATGTCCATGTACTCGTGCATGCATCTGTTCGCAATAAGGAACACGCGTCAACTGAGATTAGGAATTGTCTATAATTCGTGGGCAACGGCTTGGCTCTGCCCCTGACATTGCTGACGTTCATGAGTGACGGTAAACACTCACCATCAGGCCGTATACTCATTTGTTTATATAGCATTAAAAAAATGACATAAATTTGCAGGCTGTAATATATTTTTTTCCTAAAAAAAAAGAAGTCGTCGTGGCTTAAAGGAGAAGAAGGTGCATTCATGTTGAGCGATGCACCGGTGTTCGAATCTCAGGCGTACCAAATTTTCTGATGAAATACGTACTCGACAAATGTTCACGATTGACTTCCACGGTGAAGGAATCATCGTGTAATAAAAATCAAACCCGCAAAATTATAATTTGCGTAATTACTGATGGTAGGACCTCTTGTGAGTCCGTACGGGTAGGTACCACCACCCTGCTGCCTATTTCTGCCGTGAAGAAGTAATGCGTTTCGGTTTGAAGAATGGGACAGCCGTTGTAACTATACCTGAGACCTTAGAACTTATATCTCAAGGTGGGTGGCGCATTTACGTTGTAGATGTCTTGGGCTCCAGTAACCACTTAACACCAGATGGGCTGTGAGCTCGTCCACCCATCTAAGTAATAAAAAAAATAAGATGAGCAAAGTTTTAAATATCAAATCTTGGCATGCTTCATACAACCGGCTCAATGTAATATAAGTTAGGGCAGCATTCTCTCAAGTACATACAGGTATATAGCTAAGGCAGCGGATGTTAATGAACAACGATGATTACTACCATCAAGTGGACCTTGAGTTGGTCTACCCATCAAGTTCAAAAAAGGAATGTATGCAATACAGGAAATATGGGCAAGCGAACAGATGTAGTTATTCTCTTGGTCCAATTTTCCATCATTGGATATGAAATCCAATTTTCAATTATGTAAGAACAGTGCTATGGTATCGTTCGTGGGAGAAGGCATGATTGCTTCGCGGCAGAAATAGGGAAACTGCGGGGACTAGGGAGACGCGATGATATTAAAAATATTACGATATTTTATTACCCCATAATATTCGATTCCCAATCTGACTGCCCAATGTTAATTAGCTACATAATGGGTACATTTTTGAGAGTATCCACTGCGACACTACCCATTAGACAGCCCTAGTCTAGTGTTATCTAGTGTTGATTGAAATTGGCCCATAAATTGAGACAAAAAGTAAAAACTTAATTATTTAAAAATTGCCACCGCAATACAAAACGAGTACGCTTTTTAAGATATGGACCTGGAAAATTTACTAGAAAAAAAAAAGTTTTTTTTTTTGTGAATAGAGATAATTATAACTAAATTAATACTCACGCTGGTAACTCGCCAACTGCCGCTCCACTAGAATCAAAAAACAAAAAATTAAACTAAACCAATATTACTCTAAAAAAAATTATTAAATAATTATTCATTATTATTAGTGCTTTTTTCATTTGTTTAAATCTGTTAACTTAAAACAGGAGTATAATAAGTTGATTAGTTATATTTGTTTTATTATATTGACAATAAAAAAGAACGGAGGTTATTCGAAGTTGGCTTGAAGTATACCTACTTATATTTTCTTCAAATCATTTTTTTGATACCTTTTTTAATGTATTCCTATTTTACCTATAATAAAGCTAGGACGACAATCTAAATCATTGTATTTCCTTATATTGATCCTCAGAAATTATTGAAAATTCCAACTCGACGTCTGATCAGAAAATGTAATCGATATTAACTTAATTGAAGCGTGAACTTGTTTAACTCCATCGTGATTTATAACTGGATGAAACGACACTAAAAAGAGATAAACATATATAAACATCTAGAGGATTTAGCCTACGTGAGGCACATGAGTTTAATTTTTTTTTGTTAGTAAAACCGACCGTCCTATCCGACCCGATCTACTAGGCAACCCAAAGCCCCAGTTGCCCTAAACATGAATGACATCAGATCCCCTAGATACACTCTTGGCGCTTTTAGGCTCTTCAAGCAGTTCAAGAGTTCGATGTGCGAACTAGCTACGGACACAACCCACTGAGTTTCTCGCCGGATCTTTTCAGTGGGTCGCGATTCCGATCCGGTGGTAGATTCTGCGAAGCACTGCTCTTACTAGGGCTAATGTTAGCAATTCTCTCAGATTGAGCCCGTGAGCTTACCTACCGGTCCGCGTGAGGTTAAAAAACTTAGGCTACAATGAAATAGCTAGGAAAAAAAGAATAGTCTAAGAAAACAAACAAAATACGCTTTTATAGAAAATCCAACTAAAAAATAGAAAAAAAAAAAATAATAAAGTTGAATTAAAAATAGTGTAAGAAAAAATGATTTCATTGTAAAAAAAGCGTGGGGTACTTTTCAGGATATAATCAAAATAACCCTTGTACTCATATATCTGTTCATAAAATATTTATAACTACTGATACCGTGCACGCCATTTACAATAAAATCATTTTTTCTTACACTTACTTATCATTTTTTAGTTCAATTTCAATTTTTTTAATATTCGCTCCTTAATAAGTATACCAAATTTCGAGTTAATCCGACGTTTTAAAGGGGGTCAAAATCATGTTCAAAGATTTCGTTACATACTAACATACACACGACTGAAGCGTGTAAAAAAGGCGTATCAAAAAGCGACGTCCATTGGTTTTAATAACGATTCTGGTCCGAATCTGGATTATTCTTATACCTTTAAACGAGCGATATATAACGAGTATATAAAATATATAATGTGAATCTCGGAAACGGCTCCAACGATTTTCATAAAATTTAGTATACAGGGGATTTCGGGGGCGATAAATCGATCTAGCTACGATTTATTTTCAGAAAACGTTGTTTTATTCGTGTTTTGAATAATCAACTCTTCCCGACATCTATTGGCGAATAATAATACTATTTTTCTTGATTGAGGGCAACTAACCAAGATGGCGTTTTCAAAAAAAAACCGAGCAAAGTTAATCTGGATTATTCTGGATAGTGCACTCACTCTGGAGGCTTGCCCCTGAGCTCGAACTTCCTGAACTCGACGAGCACGCGCTGCCCCGGCGCCGCCAGGAACGTGTAGAGGCACTGCCGGCTCTGGTTGTTCGAGTTCAGCAGCTCGGGGGCGTGGAAGGTCCCGTTGCTCGCCCCGCCTCGACTCACGAACGTACGGTCGCACTCTGGAACACACAGCATGACTATTTTTAAGATGCAGCTCATAGGGTACATATTGGCGTGGCTGGGACAATTTTTTTTTTTAGGATTTAACGATTTCTGGTGGCCCGGAGGCCGTTCCAGTTTCACCAGGACAGGTGGGCGAGCATGGTTCAGCCAGGAGGGGTGGGATTTGCTAACAGCTGCCCGAGCGCCTCCGAAGGAAACCTAAACTAACTCAAGAGCAGCTGCTTCGCGAATAAATCTACTACCGGATCGGAATCGCGACCCGCTGAGAATATCCGGCGAGAAAATCAGCGAGCTGATTCATGGGTTAGGTTGCACGTCGAACTCTTTGTCGAGTTCGACCAGTACGGTTACCGGGGTCCCTAAGCCTGCTCCTAGGCTTAGGGACAATGTTGTGACTTAAGACCAAATAACTATTATCCCCTGTCTTAAGTAAAACTAGATAATCATGTCGATCGATGCGATCATGCCGTGGTTTAAGTACCACAGGCAGATTACATTGATAAGTTCTTTATACGTGTTCACTAATGTCTTTCGCGATGAAGAAATAACGTCCTGTAGTAAAAATACAAAGTTTCATGATTACTGATGATGGTAGAACGTCTTGTGAGGTCAACATGGCTACCACCATTCCGACATTTTCTGCCGTGTAGCAGTCATACGTTTCAATTGAATAGTTATACAGTGGCTATATATATAACCGAGTCGTCACAAGACGTACACGTAAACTTTATGCTTTAAGCTCCAGTCATTATGACCGTCAAGTGGCCCAAGCTATTAAATTTCTCCACGCTGAAAATCAGTGAGCTGAATCACTTTCGCTAGTATATTTGATTTTAGCAACATCTATTGGTGTTTTACACATTATGGATCCTCCCGATCCATTAACGGTGCTTTTAGGTACCTCAAGCACCGGTCACCGTCCTCGCCGAGCCCGTCGTTTGCAACGAAGGGCCCTGCGAGTAAATTAACCCATAGACACAGCCCACTGAGTTTTGCGCCGGGTCTTCTCAGTGGGTCGCGTTTCCGATCCGGTGGTAGATTCTGCGAAGCATTGCTCTTGCTAGGGCCAGTGTTAGCAACACTCCGGTTTGAGCCCCGTGAGCTCACCTACATGTTCGGGTTACGCTGATATAGCCTCTCAAGGGTATCGCATAGGTAGGATAAAAAAATAGCGGTTTTTTTTGTCGTGAATGGAGCTTGTTTTCTCCTCACAGCAACTAACTAATCAAAACTTCAATCACAATCGTAAAAATAGTAGATTTAGTTGTACCGTTCTCGCCCCAGTTTTGTACAAGAGAACCGTGGCAGGGAGCGTTTACCTAAATGTTCCGACGGCGCTAGACGCGGCCCGGAAACAAAACGCACTCAACGTTCGCCCTCGGCCGCACTCGTAATGTCGTCCCTATTGTTTCGTATTTTTAATTTCGTGCGATAAAAATATATTCGGTGCTATAAAAACACAGAGTTCTCATTGAATATGTACGTATATTTATGTTAGAATTTAATTGAATGGGGAATTTTTACAATACATACAGTGAAGCGTTTTCTATATCGAATATAATATTTATTTTTGGTTTGGCATTTTTATTCATTTGAGGTTCTGAAAATTTCTAAGAATATATTCTAAACTATTCAAGTCCGTTTTATTCGGTGACATTATTAATATTATTCCTGTCGTTTATTTTCAGCTGTTGACTTAGAATGATAAGTCTAAGTCATTTGTAAGTGTTCCATTTTTTTATATACTCTGCAATACAAAAAAATATCGGATATAAGTAATGAAGATTGGCGTATATCGTGTCGCTTCGTTAAATTATAAAATTGCTGAAATAAAGAAGTCGAAAGTTGAAACTTTGGTAGGTACTTACTTTTCAATTCATTCTCGTCCTAAAATTACGCGATATTATCAACAAATGAGGTTGGTTTGCTTGATTCTTGGAACGAAGTATGAAGAGGGTCTTCCGCAGTAGACATGCTGGCATTGCTGACGTCCATGAGTGACGATGACCATTTACCAAAAGATGGACCGTATACTCAGCTTGCCTACAACCTCATTAAAAAAACTATAGAACTTAGTATCGGCGTTACGTTCAGTTTGCTATTTGCTAAATTTTTATACGGTCAAAAGGAAACAGGACTGTAACAATAAACAAAAGAGTATAAAGCGTGTGTGTGTCAAATTACTGGTGGTAGGACCTCTTGTGAGTCCGCGCGGGTGGGTACCACCGCCCTGCCTATCTCTGCCGTGAAGCAGTAATGCGTTTCGGTTTGAAGGGTGGGGCAGCCGTTGTAACTATACTGAGACCTTAGAACTTATATCTCAAGGTGGGTGGCGCATTTATGTTGTGGATGTCTATGGGCTCCAGTAACCACTTAACACCAGGTGGGCTGTGAGCTCGTCCACCCATCTAAGCAATAAAAAAAAAATAGATGGTAGAGTATGTAATATTTGTATGTAATATGTATTCTTTATGGATAATTTAAAAAAAATGCATTCTGCACTCCTCTATGTTCTCTACAAGTGTGGGAAATTTAATACTCCTACGTCCGCGTAATTTTCTTAAAAAGGGGTACAAAGTTTTTGCTTCGCGTATTAATATATAGATGTATAGACAATAAAATATTTTTACGGCTTATGTTGAATTTGTTATTGTCTTTTTCTTATTTCCGATGTGTGACCGTGTCGTAAACTTGACAATGTTCGTGGTCGGACGACAAAGGTGTCGTACGTCGATATTGTAAGATTTATGAAATTCACTGGTGGTAGGACCTCTTGTGAGTCCGCACGGGTAGGTACCACCGCCCCGCCTATTTCTGCCGTGAAGCAGTAATGCGTTTCGGTTTGAAGGGTGGGGTAGCCGTTGTAACTATACTGAGACCTTATAACTTATATCTCAAGGGGGGTGGCGCATTTACATTGTAGATGTCTATGGGCTCCAGTAACCACTTAACACCAGGTGGGCTGTGAGCTCGGCCACACATCTAAGCTATAAAAAAAAAAATGTATTCATTTTCAATTTTAGTAACTATAATAGTATTCTAGTTTTACTTGCGTCTACATATGTCTATATATTGTGTTATGTGCGAAAACCGAAGTGAGTTTTTTAAATAGGAAAATAAAAATGTTAAAAGAAAATAAATACGATGCGATTTCAAAAAAAGTCACAGTGCGTTTATTTCAGTTGAAAATAATTGGCGCTATTTTTGTGACTACGACTTGCCCAGTTCCTTTGGATCGAAGCGAAAGAATGTAAGTTAATTACGAACCACGCTGAGCCTGTCAGATGTTATTAACTAATTTCTTTACTCTTTCCAAGTTTTGTAATAAATCACTGTTCGAATAATTATTTAGTTGTTATTTTTTGTGAAATTTCTTTAACACTTTATACCACCGCCCTGCCTATTTCTGCCGTGAAGCAGCAATGCGTTTCGGTTCGAAGGGTGGGGCAGCCGTTGTACTGAAAAACTGACAATCGGAACTTATATCTCAAGGTAGATTTTAACAATAAAAAAAATAAATAATAAATATTGAAATATGTTGTTTATACACTTAGCTGTTATCAGCTGTCCTGCATTTTCAACCGAGTCACGTGACGGTCTCTCAGCGGAAAAAAGGTGATAAGAAACATTCGCTAATCAAAAAATAAAGTGACATCTTTGTATGAAGAGCTAAGTGTTTAAATTTTAAGTACGGTTAATTCACACTCTAGTGTGCTTCCCGGTGTGCTAGTTTGCGTACGTTTGCCGCTAGGGGCGTTGTTCCAACTGCATACAAATTTGTGTTAACTTTTACGCTATCGAGAACGTTAAAAAACTCGCACTAAGCACACAAGTGTCTCGATCGGTCGTAATGTTGACTGCGGTAACCCCTTACCCCGCCCATGCTACCTCGGCGGCATCGGAACCTTGGGCGAGCGTACTGAGGAGTATTTCAGTAGGAAGGCCCTAAATTCCATCCCTTGGGCCCGCGAGTCCGCTCCCAACATCTGAGGGCCGTCCAGTCCACATACCACGCGCGCCCCTACACGCGGGAACCTACAGGAGGTTCGGCCCCCGGCCCAAAAAAAATGCCTCTCTGTCGATTTAGATTGAAGCTTGTTGCCAATACTGGCTATTAAAAGTTTTTTTCCGTCCGGAGAATGAAGCGTCAAGACGAGGCCGAGATTCGATTAACAAGTTCATTAAAACAGATTTACGCGATAAGTAGGTACCTATGAGTTAACTTAGATGAAATAAGGACCAGGTAGATTACCAAGTAAATTAATCACGATTTTGATTTCAAAAATGTTATGACAGATGAATTTCAAAATTACAAAAGAAAACACATAATATCTAATCATGTATTATCTATACATATAAATAAAATTGGAGTGTCTGTTTGTAATATTGAAATAACCGCTTTTTACTACATGCATAATATGAATGTATATACGGTACATACACCAAAATAACATTTTTTACAATTTTTGTCTGTCTGTCTGTTTGTTCCGGCTAATCTCTGGAATGGCTGGACTGATTTTGACTAGACTTTCACTGATAGGTAACCGATGATATAAGGAGTAACTTAGGCTACTTTTTTTAAACTAGCTTTGCCCCGCGGCGTCACCCGCGGTTATTGTCGTACCGCGGGATAACATCGCGGGACTCAGCTATCAATAATAAAATTTAATGTTTCCGTACTGTACGTGTGTAAGTCACTGAACTCCTCCTAAACGGCTGGACCGATTTGAATGAATTTTTTGTATGCGTTTTGGTGGCTCCCTAGATGGTTTAGATTCACAAATCAGCCAAGCAGATGGCGCTGCAGACGGCATCTAGGTTATTTATGTATACTGCAACTAAGCGGCTGGATCGACTTGAATGAATTTTTGTGTATGCATTCATTCATTCATTTCATTGTGTATGCATGACAACGTCTGTCGAGTCCGCTAGTGCTTTATATAATTTGGCATGCGGGTTGCATTGTCTACAGGCTTTAATAATTATTTAATCGGGGTCGGGGTCGGGGTCGTTCACTCATGCAAAAAAAAAACTGGAATATTTTGCAAGCGTAATAGGATCTACACTGTGCGAGGCGGAGTATGAACGAGATGGACAAACGCCAAATGAGAATATGTTTAATTTGCCAATAGGCATATCAAAATATTGAATGTGCAACGATATGTATCTTGAAAACGACATTAATCAATTTATATGGAATTCTGTAATCACTTTTACGTTCGGTTCGAGGGGTATACGTGCCGGGAAGTAGCTTTGTGGTGCTTAATTAACTTTCCTATTCGCCATAATAAGACCCCCAGTTCAACATTCGTGGCTTGGTTATGATTTTTTACCAATCGGTTTGAATAGTGAAACTTATTTGGTCGCGATGAAACGAAAAGAATAGCTGATCTTAATTTAAAATTTCATCATCGTGCTATTAATATAATAAAGAGATATCAAATCAGTTTAATAGCAAGTTTATTTTGCTTTTAATTGATTAGAATATTGAAACGATAGAAATGACCAAATAATTTTCACGACGCCCTCCCGTTCTAGACGCCATTTTGTTTTTTTTTATCCGATTTAAATGTTTACTTTTAATGAGGTCTTATTTGGCGTGTCTTAAGTTTTTTTTTTAATGATGTATTTAATAGACGTACTTGGAAGTTTAGTGGGCGAGGCGTCAGCCAGCGTGGACTGACTCGAGAGCTCCGCCTCCCCAGCGACCGCTGCACAGAAATAACAACCAGTTATAATTTCATGAAAGTTTTTCGTATCTGATTTTTTTATACTGCCGCAACCGTGTTTTATCTGTTTGTTTAATTTTTAATGCCTACAATTCTATTATTACTAAACGGCTCGACTTTGATCCGTTCGTTATAAAACTCACGATAAGCCAATCTGAAGATTTCCTAAAAGAATCAACGAAATCGGTCCAATCGCTTCTGAGTCTATAGAAAACTTATAATATAATTTATGGATGAATAATATTGATGACCGAAAAGGCAAATTCAATATATAATTAAACATATACCTTCCACTGAGGACTCATACTACTATAACGCAAATTGAAAGATTTTTACACGAAAAAATTGAATCGGTGACTGGCGGTAGCCAGATTGTCGTCCGAATATTGCCAATCCTAAAGACAATAGCAAACACCTCTGCCTTCTCCACCTCTGCCTTCATTGGCAGTAAAAGAAGTCTACAAATTTGTACTAGGTTAACAAATAAATAAGATGGTATTGGTATTCAGGATAAATAAAAACTCCTCATCGAAGCATAAATTATGAAGACATAAGTAGTCCCGAAACACGTCTTACCTATTTTATTACAATATTTCCAAAGTTGCCAATTGGAAATAGAGAATGCAGAACAAAATAATTAAGATCAAGTTACGTAATATTTCCTCCGAGAATGAGTTCAGGTCCCAAAGTATGCTCAATGAAAAATTCCGTTCTAAGAAATTATGCGCTAGTTCAAAAACTATTTATCTACCTACACCTGCCTACAATGTACAGCTTTTTTATTATTATTGTTAAAAATACATTGAAAAATTACAAATTTAAATATTTATAACTTTCAAATGTTGAGTGTTGATAAAAACAGGCAATAACTTAACAATTCAATACCAGTTTCTATTTTGTCTTTCGACCGATCTTGTTGTTTTTTTTTCAGTAGTTGTTAAGGAGCTTTAGTGTTGTCACCGAAAAAATAACCCGATAAATATTTCTTTGTTCAAAGTATTATTTAATGTTTTAAAATAGTTCCTTACTGAATAATAAATTCGTCTATGTTCTAAAGCAAGCTTGGATGTCGTTATTTTGTTAATTCAGTATTTCTTAAGTTAAACGTGTAAATAATGGAGGCTTATAGATCATTTAGCATCTCTGCAAAAATGCACAAATGTGAGGAAATTATAAAAAGGTACTTCATGTGGTTTCTCTTACATAAAAGTCCACTGAAGTCTCAGTAAAAAAAACCCATATTACTGAGACTGTCTCATCCCACCTGCTCTCGTTAATTTAATTTCAACCCAATTGATTGATTATTGTTCTTACAACACTACATATTTGTATGTATATAAAGAAATATTGAGGACTTTTATAAACTTTATACACAATAGACTCACCAGAAGTCAATTGCTATACTTAAAAAAAGAACTATTTGAGAGCACCTAATGAAGGCTTACTTGAATAAAATTTAACTATAATTTTTAGAAAATATATTCATATCCAGCCGTTCAATTTCGCTTGCCACTTGAGAAGTTAGGTTAAATCTAAATTCTAATCTAATTCGAACTGTGTAAGCTCCGTAGGAGGTCTGAGATGTTAAGCCAGTGACGTATATAGGGCAGTGGTTGAAGTTTCGCGCGAGAACTGCAGCTTGTTCTTTAAGTATTATTATGAATGTTGAAAACTAAATTCAAATAGTACCAGAGTATTACAGTATAATAGAATACTTAACAAATGTTCACGATTGACTTCCACGGTGAAGGAATAACATCGTGTAATAAAAACAAACCTGCAAAATTATGATTTGCGTAATTACTGGTGGTAAGAACTCTTGTGAGTCCGCACGGTTAGGTACCACCGCCCCGCATATTTCTGCCGTGAAGCAGTAATGCGTTTCGGTTTGAAGGGTGGGGCAGCCGTTGTAACTATACTGAGACCTTAGAACTTATATCTCAAGGTGTGTGGCGCATTTACGTTGTAGATGTCTATGGGCTCCAGTAACCACTTACCACCAGGTGGGCTGTGGGCTCGTCCATAAGCCTAAGCAATAAAAAAAAAATTACGAGCTTTTCGAAATTTTGTATTCTTCTTTCTCTTCTTTTTCTTTTCTTAAATAGACTAATGGACTCACAAGCCACATTATGTTGAGTAGGTAGTACCTAACCTGACCCGCGTTTCGTCTCGGGCGAGAAACGGAATTCAGTCAGTAGTTATTCAGAGTTCGACACACTCCGGTCTTATCCCAAATCTGCTGGATATCGATAAATTGGAAAAAGTAAAGTGAAAATAGTAAACAATCTATACTAATATATAAATCTACAGTGGTTTTTACTAATGTTCCGTTATAACTACTGAACCATGCATCCGATTGACTTGAAACTTGGTATCCATGTCGAAAATACACGTACTTAAATGGATAGGCTAATATTCATATGAGTGTTGGACTCCCTAATAATAATGACAATAAATAATAATGTTAATTTTAAATACCCAACGAAGCGGCCGAGTATGGCTACTAATCTTATAAAATTAATTCTTCATCTTATGTTATGATTCTTTTTTTCTGAAACCATGTTTATATCAAATCAAATATAAAAAAATTTATTCAACATAAATGAAAGTACAGTCAAAATCTGTTATAACGACATCGAAGGGACTGCTCATATTCAGTCGTAAAAACCGATAGTCGTAACAACCGGTGATGTTTAAAGTGTATCGTGCAAGCACAAACAAATCGATAGGGAATTATTGGAAAAATATATTTACGTAATACGCGATTTTTCTTCAATATTAATTTGTTTTCTTTTTCTTTGCGACATTTTGAAAGTTTCACGAATAACTCCACAAAGTTTTGGTGCGTCTTGTGTATAGATAAGTAACAAACTAACTGAAGAGATATGAAGAAGCGGGCTTTGACTACCGCATGCACGTGTTTTGTTTCTAACAATTAGAAAAGACCCTACACTAAACTAAATCCTATTGTTTTCTTTCCTGATTTTAAAAGCCATTGAAGACAAATGTGGATACCTATTTAAATTGTTTACAATACAGCTTAGCCGGTCGTTCTAACAGATCTAATTCTCCGAAATATTAGTTAAATGTGGTCGTTTTATGAGGTATGTCGTTATTACCAGTGTCGTAGAAAGCAATATTTTTAATAAGGCGGTCATATGGCATTCAGCCGGGACCTTTGTTCTTGGTTATTATAACCGGCATGTTGTATTAAACGATGTCGTAGTAAACGGTTTTGACTGTACATACTTGTTGAACGTCAAAAGAATTACCGCCAATTCACAAAAACTAGCCTCCGTCCTGAGAAGAATTGGCAAGATACTCAGCGGGCATATCTTTTTTTTTAATTTTTTTTTTTTTTAATTTTAGATTTTTTTCGATTCGAGCCAATTATCGCAGTTATCTATCAAAATACATGGCCCATCGTTCAATAGTCCGTGTAGCCAGCGGCGAATGTGTTTAAACTAGTTTAAAGCTATACCAAATTTTGTTAGCGCACGAAGCATGAGCTCCCAAATTGAAATTGTTTTGGGAAATAATAGTTATGTCGGAAAGTTGTTACAGGAGTGTAGATAAAGCAAACTAAACCGTATATTCAGACTTATTGGTTCTTTTGGTAGCAACATAACTAATATAGTTACCTCCCATTGGTATGTAACTATAAATGTATATGACACAGGTTGGTGTTTGTTTCAAGTTGTCTATAGCTCACTGCGACCCCCAAAATTTTACATTAATTTTTTTTTAAAAGATTTGAAAAGAAAGAGAACGTACTACGAAAAATTAGCAATAAAAAAATAAAAAAGACAATACGAATATTTTTGTATGATCCAAAGTTCATACAAAAATTAATAAAGTAGTGCTTTATATTTTATTGATTTTTCACCACTCTTACTACTCATCATCGTCATCATCTTAGGCCTTACAGCCCAGGGTGGGCCTTAGCCTGGCCCAGTATGTCTCTCCAGACTGCTCTGTTCAGGGCTTTCTCCTTCTAGTTCTAGACACCGATAACTTTGAGGTCGTGCTATCTAACAACCGGAGTTTGAACCTTTTTTTTCTTTTTTTTTTTTTTTTCCACAGGAGAAAATCGCCGGATCCCCACCCGCACAGCAGGTGGGGTATGTGGGAGTCGAACCTCACTAAAAACTCCTGCCGCTCACAGCCGGCGCCCTACCCCGGACCGGGTGGGAACCCAGTCGGAGCTATTGAGACGGCGGGACAGGGTTTACGCAGTGCACATTACATCCATCCCGCCG